ACAGTCACCAGAACGACACATCGGCAGCATTCCATCCGCGAGATCGGCCGCTCTTGGCTGGCCTCGGCCAAAATCGCGCGTAACGCTGGACAGTGGCAGACGGCGTACAGCGCGGTACTACAATCACAGCAATCGAAAGCAGAGTTCTCCTTCATGGAGAGTGCCAAGTTGGTGAAAGCCACGGGCGAGCCGCTGCGGGCGCTGCAGGAGATTGAGAATGCCATGAAGCTACTCGGTATTCCGATGAGCGGCAGTGTGCAAGGGAATGTGGTGCTGGATCTGACTGAAGATGATCCTGAGACGTCGAGGATGAAAGCCAAGGCGCAGATCCTCAGAGCCAAGTGGATGAACGAGTCGGACCGGTATGACAGCCAGTCGATATTCAACGCGTTTTTGGCGGCGACTGAGCTGCAGCCAGAGTGAGTTGTTTCATTTGGCTTTTGTGGGTGCGGACTGAGTTGGCATGCTTTGCAGCTGGGAGAGCTCGCACTTCCATTTAGGCCAGTTCCACGACGAGTGCTTCAAGGACTTGCCCCCGGCTGACAAAATCTCGCGGTGCGGCGTTTGCTTGCTCATTTCCAAGTTATTTTCTGACATGCACCAGTGGAATTCGAATGAATGCGTCCACTATCAAGTCCTTCACGCGAGCGATCAAGTACGGGTCTAAATATGTGTACCAGACGGTCCCGCGGCTGATCACAATCTGGCTTGATCTGGGCGAGGACCGGAAGACGAACACGCAGGAGACGTACAAGCGGCTGAACGACACAATCATCCTCAAGGCCATCCGCGACACACCGGCGTACAAGTGGTACACGGCGTTCCCGCAGATCGTGTCGCGCGTGGGACATGACAATCCGGAGGTGTACAAAGTCCTGTCCTCGCTCATCATACGTGTGCTGCAGGAGTATCCGAAGCAGGCGTTGTGGTTGTTCACGTCTGTGGTCAAGTCGACGAAGTCGACGAGAGCCGCCCGAGGGAAGGAGATCTTGGAGAAGCTCGTGGTGAGTGGTGTTCGTCGATTCCTTTGTGTATCGGCGTCCTCAGCACTTCATCCAGCAAGCGGGCCATCGATCGCAGACCTCACAGCTGGTCAAGCAGTGCACGAGCATGACCAATCAGCTGCTCAAGCTGTGCGATCACCCCGTTTCAGATGAGGCTCGGGGCCTGAGCATGCAGCAGAAGTTTCCGGAGCTGTTCCAACTCGGCACCTCGCAGCTGATCATTCCGCTGCAAGAGTCGCTGACGGCGAGCCTGCCGCCGAGTTCGGCTGTGGACGAGAGCACGCACCAGCCGTTTGACTTGGATGTCCCAACGTTCCAGGGTGGGTGCATCATCCAATGTGTCACGGGCGTGCAACTTACTCGAAGCAGGGTTCTCCGACGAGATCGAGATCATGCGTTCGCTGGCCAAACCACGGAAGATCACGATACACGGGAGCAACGGTCAAATCTACATGTTCCTCGGAAAGCCAAAGGACGATTTGCGGAAGGATGCGCGGCTGATGGACTTCAACTCGATTATCAATAAGCTGCTCAAGGCGAATTCCGAGTCGCGTCGTCGGCAGTTGCGTGAGTGGTCGGCCGAAATGTTATCTACATATCTTATGATGGCGTTGCAGACATCCGGACATACGGCGTGGTGACACTGAACGAGGAGTGCGGGTTCATCCAGTGGGTGCCAAACACCATCCCGCTGCGGCCGGTGCTGCTGAAGGGCTACGATGGGCGGGGGATCAAGAGCTGGTCGACGGAGCTGAGCGAGACGTTTGCGAAGATCAAGACGGCCAAGGACAAGCAGGCGGCGGAACTGTTCAGGGACAATGTGCTGGCTGGGTTCCCACCGGTGTTCCACGAGTGGTTTATAGAGACCTTTCCGGAGCCCAGCGCGTGGCTGGCGAGTCGCATGGCGTATGGGAGGACCGCGGCTGTGATGTCCATGGTGGGGTACATCCTCGGGTGAGTGGGGTCGTGTCGCTAACCGAGGTCATCTGCTGAAATTCTGCCTTCTGCAAGCCTCGGCGACCGGCACTGCGAAAACATCCTCCTGGACGTCAACACGGGGGATGTCGTGCATGTCGACTTCAACTGCCTGTTCGAAAAGGGCAAGTCGCTCGAGACACCGGAGCGGGTGCCGTTCCGACTGACGCAGAACATGGTCGACGGGCTCGGGGTGACGGGCGTCGAAGGGGTGTTCCGGCTGGCGTGCGAGGTGACGATGCAGCTCCTGCACGACAACAAGGACTCGCTGATGAGCGTGCTCGACGCGTTCATCCACGACCCGCTCGTCGAGTGGGAGGACGAGAAGAGGCGGCAGTCGAGAAACGGCGTCAAGGCGAGCGCGAATCTCAAGAGCCTCGCGAAGAATGCGCTGGACCCGATCGAGCGGAAGCTCAAGGGCCTCCAGGACAACAACAAGGTCGTGTCGACCAGTAATGTCGTGCAGAAGCTCATCCAGGAAGCCACCGACGCAGCCAATCTCGCCAAGATGTATCCTGGCTGGGCGTCTTGGCATTAGATACCTCACCATCTCAGCCTGAGACTGGACCGATTTGCGCTACATTTCAGACCCACATTTAGCCATTTTTGAATCTGAATTTTTCCTATTCTCCGCTCAGTCAATAGCGAAGCCGTCTGAGTTTCCGTGACAAGGGCACGGGTCGTAACGCTTGTTCATCCGATGATGTTCCGTTGGCTAATGCTGACTTATCCCTAACCGGGCACGTGTGGTGGGTATCACTGGAGTATCACTGGTTGCTTGACCACGCGGATGCTTGGGTTACATCGGAGGAGCTGTAATGCGGAGGTTGGTCCCAAATACCGCAGCCCTCATATTAGGTGGGAAAAACTGCAGATTGTGGGTGATGTAGATCCTATTCAAGTAGCGCACAAATATATTGTCCCTCGCGCAATTCTGACGCGCTTTGTCTCTAGGTCGAGAGCCAGACCAGTCATCCAAATTATACTAGCAGCCTGTCGAGTAAGAAAGGATGACCGACCCACCTTTCTGATCGGTCACGCGACGTATTCAGCTCACAGGCCTTGCACCGGATACTACCGAACAAAGGTCGTCATAGAGAATGACCCGAAATAATCAGTAGGATGAGGGAGACTGAGAGACTTGAGAAATGTCGGCAACACATCCGACTTCTAGTAATTGATGGGCACCACAGCCGCATCACTGATTTGGACATTGTTCGACAAGTCCGATCCTCTGAAAGTACGGATATCTCTGCATGGCATGTCATGTGGACTGGAAAGAAGTCCAATGCCTCTACCTTACGTATGACCACTAACATAGCGTGGCGATTGTAGCCGTGCACTCAGTCGAGAGTTGCGTTATCTAGTTTGACTCACCGGCCGCTTGTGCGCACTGACCAATAGGAAACGAGTCTTACGAGGGTCGGCCCTCAGCAGAGCTCCGTGCTAGCGCGGAAGCTTGCTCAGGCGGTGCAGGGCGTACCTCTGCGCTTATGCGCATTGCGTTGCTTCGCTTCCACCGCAGGCCACTTTCCTGGTCGTTTGCCATGACGTGCTTTCTATGGGACACTGCCGACGAGTATAAATGTGTTTCCAAGTAGGAACGCATTTTCCCATCTTGTTCGATATGTCTCTTCCCGTACCTCAACTCTTTCAGCCGATCTTGGTGGGCGACATGCAGCTCAAGCACCGCATCGTGATGGCTCCATTGACGCGGAATCGCTCTGATGATGACCGCGTTCCTTACGATCCGCTCGTCAAGGAATACTACGCACAGCGGGCCTCGCAACCAGGGACGCTGGTGATCTCAGAAGCGATATTCATCGACGAGCGCGCAAGCGGAATGCTCAACATTCCTGGGATGTGGTCGGAGGCTCACATTGCGGCGTGGAAGGAGGTGCGTCCCATGGCTCGGGAATGCTACGACCGTTGTTGATTTTGTGTAGATCGTCGCCGCCGTCCACGCGCAAGGCTCGTTTATCTACATGCAGCTGTGGGCGCACGGCCGTGCAGCCCAGCCATCCACTCTGGGCGACAACCCGTACGTATCCGCCTCCGACGTCGCGCTCAGCTACCGGCCTGCGGACGACATCAAGCCGCGTCCATTGACGAAGACCGAGATTTCCGAATATGTGGAACTTTACGTGCGAGCCGCGAAATATGCGGTGCATGATGTTGGATTCGACGGCGTAGAGGTCCACGGTGCGCACGGATATCTGATTGACCAGTTTACACAAGATGTGAGCAACGTGCGGTCGGATGAGTACGGAGGGAGCATCGAGAATCGGACTCGATTTGCGCTTGAGGTCATAGATGCTGTTGTTGCCGCTGTTGGCCCCCAGAAAACGGGCTTCCGCATCAGTCCCTGGAACCCCTACCAAGGTCATTATTTTGCGCTTAAATAGATTTCGAATTTCTGACTTGAATTCCAGACATGCGCATGAAGGACCCCAAACCCACCTTCTCTTATCTCCTTGAGCAGATCAAGGCGCGCCATCCCGACCTGGCTTTCCTCCACGTCATCGAGCCGCGGATCGAAGGAGAGGATATTCTTGCCGACGACACCCTTCCCAAGGGAGTGAGCAATGACTTCATCCGAGATATTTGGACGTCTTCTGGCTCGCGTCGACTCATCTCTGCCGGCGGCTATACCCGTGAATCAGCCATCCGGGACGCCGAGAAAGGCGAGCTGATAGCCTTCGGGAGAAAATTCCTTGCGAATGTAAGCCCTCTTCGTCCTATTCAGCGCTTTGCACTGATAATGGGAACAGCCCGACCTGCCCTTGCGATTGCTACATGACTACCCTCTGAATCAGTATGACCGCAACACTTTCTATGGCGAAGGCTTCCCCGATCCAAAGGGTTACACGGATTATCCCTTCTACACGCCCGAGAACCAGCTTGTGTGATGCTGTGGACAAGGTCTTTCACCGTAGACCTCTTGGAGTCTTGTGCAGACAGATTTTGTACGGAACTTCTGTGACTAGCCAATATTACCGTAGAATAGATTATCAGGCAAAAAGAAAGTGTACAGGAATATAAGAACATGGATCAAAGTCCATAGTCAACCTGTAACTTTGGTTATTTCTGCCATGGCCACCTTTAACTGCGCTGCATCGGGTGTACCAGCAGCAGATCTGGATGAATGCCAGAATGAGCCTGAACGAGCATCCGCCATCTATCTACAGCATACATGGGAATTTGCGAAGCGCACAGTGAGGAGTCAAAGTCCAATCACGTGCAAACCTTCCGTCTAGCTGAGTGAATGAATAGCGCTAATAGCTCTGACTGCACTGCGATACATGTATAGTTCTTCTTTAATACGAGTCAAAGTGTTACGCTGATCGTCGCTGCAAGCGATTCAGCGACCCGCATGTCCACAGGCGTTGTCCGGTTTAGTTAGGAGTGTCGGTGTGCCGAAGATGCTGGGAGACGAAGCTGACTGTCGTGATAGAGAATACAGATCCAAAAAGGGTGGGAGAGATTGATTTGTGAAAGGATTCGGTAGCGCATCCCGCTCGCGCAATGCATGTTTCCAGGATGATTGTGCAGGCCGGATCCACTCCATATCTTGCTCCTGCGTAAATGTATCAGTGCCACAGGTGCGCGTCGCTTGATACCAATGCTTACTGCGCGCGAACTAGCCGCCGTATTCTCCGAGGATATCGATGCCACCGTGTTCTGGAGCTCGGCGAACATCCCGAACACCGCGTCGAGCATCTTGTGGGGTGTCAGATGAATCCAAAAGAAACACAGAATCCGTCTACCTTCTTATGTTCGTCTACCGAGACTGACATACGCTATGATTTCCTCATTAGACCGAGGGTCGCAGGAAGCGACCAGCAACTGACCTGAAAGAAGTGCTGCAAGGCTAGAGCTTGTAAGTAGCTTTTCGCCTGCTGTATTTTCGAATTCTATGACGAGGGGGGAGTCAGCCGCTTACCGAAAGAGCAAGGAGACTGACTGGAAATGAATACGGACCGTTTCGAGAGTTTCAATCTTGGAACGAAGTTGGTAGGTCTGAGGGCATATTTGGTGATGTATTGCCTGCTGTGAGCAAGCGCATCCATCTTGCGTTCCCGGGCATATCTGGCTGGGATCGTCAGTAGAACATAACGCTCGATCAGGAAGCAAATCGGGGCAGAGTTTCGTAGATGAGGCCGACGAAGCCGCGTGTTCATGGCAAGATGCGATACCACTGTGGACATTGACTGTTTGTTGCGGCCGGGCACTGCAGAACTGGTGACCGGATAATTGCGCGCTTTGAGTGGAGCAGGAAGTGTGGACCGATGAGTTTGGAACGCTGGATTTGGCATTAGATTGAGAAGGTAACCAGGAGTCAGTGACATGAGGAGGGGAGGAGCTAGATGGAAGGAAAAGCGAAGAGGATGTGGGAGAGGGAGGATATGCCAATTCGTCGAGATCGAGCTCCATGTCGGGCGAGTCCATCGAGTGATTAGGATGCTTCAGTGGGGGTGAAAAGAGAGCAATTGTCGTGGTGGCAAACATGGGCATGTATATTTTATACACTTGAAAGGATATGCAGCTTTGTCTCTTAAATCGCGTCGTGGGTTGATTAGATCAACAGCGTATGTGGAGCGTGCCCCAGCATGTCTCCGTGGGGGCGATGTGCGAAGGGCCCGCCGGCTCGATTGCACGAAAATAACGTCAGGTCGTTTCCATCTCTTCCTATCACTCACACCTCCTACGCCGTTCAATTGTCTCAACGTAGGGTAAAGCGAATCCATAGATCAGAAGAAGGAGCGGCAAAGGTTTTCGGTGCAGGTAGAAAGGTCACGGTATCACGTGCCACCCGGCCTTCATTCACCCGTCCGAGGAATGCACGACACCAGCACACTCTCTACCTAATCGACGCAGCTTGAAATCCTTAATATCACAACACACTACCTATACGCTCTAAACTATGCCTACAGACCCCCAGCCGTGCACGCCCAAAGTAGCACTACCCAGATTCCCAGCAAGCCACTCGGCAAGTATGCCACCCACCTCCGAATCCAACGCGTCTTCCGCCCCACCAAAGTCCCCACGTAAATCCCCGCACTGTAAGACATGCGGGAGACCCCGCAAAGGACACGTTCTTCGCTCGTGCGGCGACGACACCCAGCCGATCACCCCGACAGCCAGATCCACCGCGAAACGCGCTACCAGAGCTGCGGCTGTATCCACACCATCTTCGGCGTCATCGAGCCCACGCACACCGCTGTCAGATGCACCAGGCAAACCGAAAGTCGCTGTGCGCACACCGACCGCGGCGGGGACACCCCTGGCGGTTCGGAAGGAGGAGTTGCTGGCGATGGAAGAGCGCGATAGGCGGGACAAGTCTAACCGCAGACGCGACTCACGTGCGAACGCGATTTCTGCAACCCTTTCCTCGCTGCCCAGCATCTCAACTGTGACTGGCGAGCTTCTGGATCAGTTGGTGGCGGTCAAGATACTCGATGAGGAAGAGCCGGAAAGTCTCGCTCTTGGGGATCTGCCTGTGGTTGATGAGGCTGGGAAGTTGGACCAGCTGCTTCGATGGCGGGCGGGAAGCCTCGCTGATGACAGCGATGCAGGGATACATGCCTGTGCGTATGGTACATGCCGATAACTGAACAGAATCTCACATTGACTCCTCACCCAGCTCACGTTTTGCAACCGCTGTGCAACGACGCTGTCCCTGACATCTCATCAAAGACTCCCACCCGCAAGTCTGCTCCCCTCGCGTCTGAAGAGACACCGACGCGGCGACGGACGATGAAGACAGGAAGAACCGCGGTGCAGTAGAACATGAAAGTCAGACGGAAGCACATCGTTGTCTACATACATCATTCTTTATCGTAATCGTGTTATAATTGGATCACCTCAGTCAGATCATGCCAGTGGATACTCGAATCTTGAAGCGGAAGAGTTGCACGTGAGAATAGGAATAGTTTCACGTGATCGCGTATCGCTAGTCTCGCAGTTACTCCAATGACTCTGGGTCATCGTTGCCGTCCGTTCTTCCCATGTCCAATTTCCTCTTCCTACCGGGCATCTCACTGCTTCCGGACCCGTATCCGACACCTGCTTTCTTCCGTAGTAGGTCGAGGTCCTGCTCGGCTTCCTCGGCCCATTCAAGAACGAGATGCCGACCGAGCAAATGGGTATGGCGCAATGCTGCATAGGCGTTCTCTGCTTCATGCCTCGAGACGAAATCGAGGAAGGCGAAGCCGCGCGATCGGGAGTCGAACTTCTTCGGCACACGAACTGACTTGAGCTTGCCGTGGGCCCTGGGTCCAATCAGCTTCAAGTATCTCAGCTCCATAGAATAGCCGACATACCCAAACAGCTCTCGGATATCCTTCTTCGTGGCCTCAAACGGTACGTTCTTGACCAACATCTTCGTCGTTCTGCTCTTGGAAGAAGCCGAACCCGCCTTGCTTTCATCCTCCGTCCCGCGCCCCGCGAACTTGACGGACAGTGCGTGCCCATCAAGCACGAACTCGTGCATACTCTTCAGCGCTTTCTTCGCACCATCGGCATCCTTGAACCCGACGAAGCCGTAGCCCATGCTCAGCCGGGCCCCGGGGCGTTTCGGGTCGGGCTTCATCTGTACACGCGCGAACGAGAAGGACGGCAGCTTGCCGAAGACCTGCACCAGGCGCTCGGTCGTCGTTGCGAATGCGAGGTTCTTCACGAAAAGAGTCGTTCCGGCGCTCAACTCGGGTTCGTCCTCCTGCTCTTCGGTCACGTCTTCGGTGGCGATCTTGACACCATGGACAACGGGCATCGTTGCTGAGTCTGTTGCAACGGGTACAGCGCCGCGGAACATCCCCTGCGGTCCTCTCTCGAGATAGACGATGGAATTGCCCAGTCGTCTATAGGCGACGGCGCGGAAGGCAGTCGATGCGTCGGATGCGTCTTCGAACTCGACGACAGCCATGGTCCCGGCAGGAGGTACGACTACCCGCGTCAGTGTCCCATGCGGCTCGAACAACTCTCTGATTTGCTCCGCCGACGTGCCGTACGGTATGTTCTTCACCAGAATGACAGTGTCGGATCGGGCTCTCGACGAGAAAGACTCTAGAACGACTCCCTGCGATTCAAGATACGTCTTGGTTTCTTGAATGATGTGCGTCTCGGCGAGGGCTAGTTTCACAGCGGCATTGTCTGAACCTTCGGGATTCAGGATGTCAGACTTCGAGATCTGCATTCGATCTGCGATCGAGGAAGCGACAGCATCGGCCTGGAGGGTGTTCAGAATCAGTGACGAGAACCAGACCAAGACGCTGGTGTTCCACTCACGTTCATGTACAGCATGCTCCAGTTGAACTCCTTTCCTGCGGCAGCTTTTCGTTTGGCCTCTCGTTCGCCTTTGACCGTCTTCTTCTTGCCTTCACCCTCGACAACTTCATACCGAGGCTTGCGGTCCACCGCGGGCAGTATGTGGATGAGACGACCCTGGAACGACTTGCGATCCAGAGCTTCGAAGGCGGAGACTGCATCGGCTGCGTTTGCGAATGTGATATACGCGACACCTTTCGGCTGCTTCGTTGCTGAATCGACGGGTAGGTGCACCTGGAGAGAAGAGGAAGTAAGCCATCCGAACACAAGTCGAAACCCCAGAAAGATCAGAAATTTATTTCTACTATTGATTCCAGAAGGATCAGCATTCCCGCAGGTATGTTGTCCCTATTTAGCTTGTCATCCGCAGAGGATCCGAGGAAAGCATCATCACCTGTGCGAGAAAAGTCAGCACGAAGTTTAAAAGACCATGAAACAGAAAAGCGAGTCAGAAAACTATTTCTACTATTGATTCCAAGAGGATCAGCATTCCCGAAGGTAAGTTGTCCCTATTTATCTTGTCATCTCACGAGGGGGAAGAAGGTCGTAATCACCTGAATAAGACATTAGTAAAGATGCACACGATGGATCGAATGGGCGAATAAAAGTTCAGAAAATGATTTCTACTAATGATTCCAGGAGGATCAGCATTCCCGAAGGTCTGATGTCCCTATATGTTTGTCGTCTTTACAATCGCCGCTCTCGGAGACGAGTCAAAAGGATTGCAAACTCACCTGAGAGATGGCACCGTATGGCGAAAACAAGTCAAGTAGCTCCTGATCCGTGCACGAGAACGCGAGATTCCGAACGAAAAGTCGGGAAGTCTGCAAGATAGTCTCCGTGTCCGGATCCTTCCCCTCCGGAGGCTCAGTGGAGGACGTTACAGCGGGCTGGGTGTGGCTTAGCATCAGACAAGGATCAAATGGGCCTACTGACCATCGCAGACTCTTCTGCATCCTTCTCGTCATCAGATTGCTCGAACGCCTTCTCAACCACATCCGCGTTCTTCGACATCCGCTGTCGCATCCATTCCATGTCGGACATGCCCTCCTGTGGCTGCTCGTCCTCCATAGGGACATCCTTCTCCGTATCTTTCGGCCCAGAGGTCGTTTCAGATGCGAGGGGTGCAGCGTCGTTGGCCCATGTGCGACCCTTCGCGCGAGGTTGCATGACTTGGAGAAACTCGTCGAGCTGGGCGTCCGGGACTGGTTTCGCGGGTGCAACATCAGGGCGTTGTTTCTTACTTGGCGGCGTAGCCTCCACGTCGTTGGGAGATGGCCCTAGACGAGGACGCTTATTAGGTCTAGGTGCAGGTGCATTTTTGGCGCCCTACTTGAGAAGGTATTGAACAAACCAGCCCAGGTAGCGTACAATGAAAACTCACGTACATCGATCACTTCGACCCTGATCTTCGTCGAGTCAATGAATGTCCTGTTGAACCACTCTTTGGCGGCCGTGGCCTGGCTATCGGTTTTAAATCCGACGAATCCGAAGCGACGCGCAGTGCCATCGGACTTGGAGGCGACTTTGCAGTCGGTGATCGTGCCCCCTGGTCCAGCTTTCTGCTCAAAGTGTTCGCGAAGTCGCGCAGGAGTGATATACACCGGGAGGTTCTGGACCAGCAGACGAGACATGGAGGGAGAAGAGCTGCGAAAAAATGGGAATGCGGGGCCAAACATTGATATCAGTCAGATCAGATACATCAACTCAAATTCACGCGCCCGAGCTGACCAATCTTGCAGCATAGACTCGTTCTACTTGCTCTCTGCTCACCACCAGTTGCCGAAATGTCGAAGCACCATCCCGGTGCGTACCCGCATTATTCATGACATTTCTTGCTGTCTGATGCACTCTAACCTAGATCTCATTATGTGCCGGCGCCAGCCCGGTATCGGTACGCTATATGCCTTACAGTCTCGTTCCCTTTTGCTCATGACCCCAGCCATTGGTCGCCTCTGCGAGAAGTGCGACGGTAAATGGTGTGACTAACCCGCCCCATTCATCCTTAAAGCTCTTCTTAACATCTCTCAGCCCCGTCTGCGACTCATACGTGAGACCGGAAACACTCGTGCGGATCTGTGATGAATGCAACTTCGGTACCTTTGGCGGACGGTGCATCATCTGCGGCTCTCCAGGTGTGTGTGAACACGAATTTAGCTGAACTGTCGCTGACGAAGGCAGGTATCTCTGACGCGTACTACTGCGCCGAGTGCACGCGTCTGGAGAAAGATCGTGACGGCTGCCCAAAGATCGTCAATCTGGGTGCCAGTAGGACAGATCTATTTTATGAGCGGCGTAGGCTGGGTGAGTTGCTGCCGGCTCATTCTCGACGAGGGTCGGCACTCATACAAAGCAGGCTTCAAGAAAGGCTGAACTTTTCCTTCGTGCTTGCATGTCGCTCTACTCTCTTGTTCCGGTTACGAATGATCTCTCAAAATGTGCCTTATCTGATTCCGCGTCCCAATCGAATTCGCTCAAGTCTCAAGCAGATCCGTTTTGTAGCACTTGCGACCGTATTTCAAACTACAGCTTTTCGCTCGGAACGAGCACTCGGAGTGGAAAGAATAGGTATCGAAGCAGTTTGGCTGCACTCAGAGAGCCGGTTAGCTGTGGCAGATTCGGAGTTGATAGGCTACCATCTGCATCTCCACTTGCACCTTGGTTGCGATGACCCCATATATCGGCCGATTGAACCTTGCTCATCTTCCCTCACTGAGCTTCACGAAACACCTCTGGGTCTGATTATGGACGACGAACACACATGCTTTATAGAGTGTACGTGCAAGGTCATGGGCTGCATATGCCTTCAAGGGAACGAATCCTGCTGGTACAAAGCCGCAATTGATAGGATGGGCGGCAGGAAGATACACATTGAAGAAAGAATCGAAAAATCTCTCGGGGGTGATTCAGCCAACGGCTCCGATGAACACGCCTCTGCTTTTGTATTCTTCAGCCATCGCCTCCTGTGGATCAGGAAAACACAGAGCAAATCCGCGTTCCATGTGAACGAGTTGGTTGGTGTATATTTCAGACTCTGACTAGTAGACAGACGGCTGCACGCGGTCAGTACAAGCATGGAGCGGGTCTGGTACGTGCTCGCTGCCATACATGGCGTGAGCTCGGAGACGACAAGATGAGAAGGCTATGCTTCTTCGGGGACTAGGACGTGCTTATCGATAAGCCAGTCGCTGAATTCACAAATTAGCGTGACTTTGCACCCGTGTAGCACACTTCCTGGTAGTAGAACCCACTCTCTCGTGGATACTGCGGCCATCGGTGAGCACGATTCTACGATTCAATGTTCCATGGAACCAGCAGCCATGGACGGTCGACAACTTGATCATGCGCAGTGCCTGTTTTAGTGGTCATGTCTCAAATTGAGTACATAGAACGGGCACAGCTCGGCACACACAACTTCTGGGCTGGCTGTCATACGAGCTGCTTGGCGTATGACCCCGCTACGACCCAAGTCTCGAGAGCACTGCACTGCACTACTTGAGATCGACACCTTCGGGGACCAGTCCGTTGACAATCTGCATACAAAGCCTCTGTGTCTCTGGTACTGTTCTCGTGGTCAGCCGACTGGATGGCGGAAGTCACATCTCGGATGTCGAAGGACAGATGGCTGCGTCCCTTCTCGGCGTCCTCAGCAGCGTTTGACGGAAGCACAAGCCCTGCCTCGACTTGTCCACGAGAGAGAGATTGAGCGATGCGTTGCTGAGAGCAACGAAAACAGTTTATGTGGATCATGGGCTCCCAAGGCAATCAGCATTCAATAGTTGGTGGACGGCCTGGTTGCGGCCGGAGTGCATCCGGGCGGAGAAACGGAGTCCAACCGGCCTTGGAAAGGTAAGACGGTCATTCAAACTAGTGAGAAGTGGTAGATTCCCATGTAAAATGACATCCAGGAATAGATCTCGGCCCAGTCAAAGGCCAGCGAGAAGGTTTCGATGACTGCAAATCGCAGAGCGCCTCACAGCTGCAGAACTTCAGAGGCTTGAAATTAGGGTGCAATACGAACCGGGGCGGAGAGCACGGCAGGAAGGGCTGTTGCGCCCTCTCAAAGCTCGCAGCAGAGATCGGGGCACAGGTCAGGATCTCGAGGCTGATAGAATATGGCGATCTCAGAAAGCAGCCTGTCAGATTGGAGCACATGCCAGCACGAGCCTACGCAAACCTCCTCCCGTGTCTTGAAGCCCTTTGAGTTTCTTCGGGACAGTCTATAGGCTCGAACCTGTTCGTTGTGAGCATTCGAATCTTCATCCTCTTCGGTTATCGAGAGCGAAAGAAGTCAGGACAGCTTGAGACGGTCGTTATATTCGATTCCGAACTGTTTATCCAATGAGATGCACGCAGAATCCGAAAGAACAGTGCAGAACAAGGCACAGCAGGTCAGCGCGATCACGTGCAGAATCTCCTGGTCATCGATCACGCGCATACTCTCCGCTTGAGATTCGTGGCGCGTCGATGAAAAATCGAATGCTCATGACTTGCGCGTATGGAAATCGTATGTGTGGAAATATATCAGAGAGTGCATTTCGAATACCGATCGCGCGGCCGTCCGATAGAGTTCACTGTTTGTCAAAAGGAATATGCTAAGTGTGTGTACCTCTGCCTGACCCCGCCTCCGCAATATCCACGTCTAGACTAGCTTCGATGATGTTGTGCCTATCTCCGCGGTAGCCAGAAACCTGTTCGCTGCCGCGGATGCCAAGGCAGCGGTCACTTCCTAGATCATCATCTAGCGCGCGTTCTCTCGGGTTGCTAGCTCGTTTCTAGCTCACTGGATTTCATTGTCGCATACGCACAAAGTAATGCCTCTTTCCCCGGTGTCGTTTTCACAGCCGCCGTAGTACTGTCAGCTACTACAGCGTCTATACGAGGATGTAGATGTCAAGCGTACTTGTATGTATCAAGGAATGGAGAATGAAATTTGAGTCTATACGATTGTCCTTGGGATGGATGACACAAGATGTTGGTATGATTAGAGTTAAGGATATGGGGGTGAGATCTATAGGACAAAGCTCAGGCACCAGTTGACGGTATATGCCAATCTGACGCGCAAAGACCCCAGAAGTCTGAGTTTGTCGAAAGGGCCGGCAACGGACTCGAGCTGGTGCTGCTCGATCGTGCGCTTGATGTACTGGATCGGAGTATAGAACTTGACGGTCGTCCACAGGAAGAACCGGCTGTGTTGAGACAAGATCTTCGCGTAGTCGGCTGCAAAAACAAACATCTTCCGATCAACGAGATGCAGATGTCAATCGCGGAGGGGCCACGTACTGCTCAATGCCGTGCGCAACGCAAGCCATGTCTGGGTTTTATCCGTGAGGATGACATCGACGCCCCAACGCGTCGCCTCCGTCATATGGTTCGGATCGTTACGGTCCAAACCATGATCTCCTTCCCTTCAGCCTTACATTCATGGCGGAAGCTAGAGCCCGAATCAGCACGCAAAACACAGGAGGGAGGGCGCATTCCACGTACCGCTCGCCGTCAGCCGACGTCAGAGACCCGAATGCCATGCTGAACACGTCGCAGTCCTTCCAGAAGTACGTTCGCGCCAGCGACGGGCTGTCTCCGATGTGAGAACGACGGCAGTACGGGAGGAACTCCTTGGCAGGATCAATGAAGCTCGGATGCCACAGCCCAAGCAGAATCCTCGGCGCTAGGCGCGTCTCCCATTCAGGCTGGGACGAAATGATGCTGTGCATCAGTGCGAACAAGCGCGCGGGGTCGTTCTGCACTTTGACGTCGACGTTGAATCCGACGTGCTGGTTCTCAGGCTGGTCGGCCCATGTAAGCGAGGACGCGAAAAAAAGGCCTTTCAGATACGTACGAGCATCAGGAGGGCGATGGTCTCCGCAAAGGTGGGAATAGCCTGATGAGGCTCCTTGCGCGTCCGAACGTGCTCCATGCCTTCCGCACCGTACCATCGGCGCTCCCTGATCTGACCCTGAGAGTCCGTGGTGCGCCGGAGATCTGGATATCATGCTCAGCGCGTCGGGGAAGGTAAAAGACGACGCGGACGTGCCTGGGTCATGGAACATCACAACAACGTCGTCGAGGGAGACGTGGACGTCTGAGGGGCGTGTCACGAACACGGTCGCAGGCGCGCGCGGAAAGGAATACCGCTCTCGATTCCATCAGCTCCGTCTCTGATGGCAGCTTCGAAGCTGGCCAGAGTGTTCTCGGGGTAACGAGACGAGGCCTTAGTCAAATAGTTGAGTACGACACGTCAGGGCTGCAAGGCATGAAGCCACTCACACCGCGGTGTCCCCAGCACTCTGAAAAGAATGTTCAGCCAACTGGATCGCATCGAGACACAAACAAAACGAACGGGGAAGCTTCATAGGGGGAACCGGAGCCATAAGACCTCGTTTGCAAGTCCGGATCGGCGAGGGAGGGCAAAGAGTGGACAGCCTGGTGGGGATGAGAATGGGCGTTCGTCGAAGGGGACGCAACGCCAGCATACACTTATGAACGTGCTTGCAAACAGTGAAAGAGCAAACGTAACGGAAATGATAAATTTAGCACCACCATACGAACGTGCCGTGATTTCAAATTTGCTTAGCTTCCGGCAAATCCGGCCCGTCCTCCTTCCTTGTCCTCTTCCATAGTCTTCCATACTAACCGTAAATTTCTTCCATGAAAATGTCAAGCCATGGGTCAGGCGATGGTGCGACCCTGCGCACGTATCGGCCCCGTGAACTCTGCATCCAACCTTCGCGTACTCGCCAAGCTAACCGCTCAAATAATAAGCTCCGGGTTTCTCGTCGACGCCGAGGATTTAGCCGAATTCGTCTCCCGAGTATGACCAAAGCGCGCTGGGTTATGGGTCAGGCTGCACTTTGCGGACAAGATCCGACTCTGGAACGTCGTTGTTTGTCACGTTGACAATGTACCGACGCCAAACGACGACACGAACGATTCGCTGGCATTGCTCACCCTGCTTCTCGTCATCCTTACTGAACCCTTGGCACAAAATCTGTAAGACATACGCATGGGTCTTTCTGCGTCTCCGTAGAAGGATGCGAGTTAGATCGGCCGGATTCTATGGGCTCGCAGTAGACAATTGTCTATGGTATGAGTAATGGTCTTTCCTACGTCGAAATAGAGGAAGAGTGTTGGATGGATGTATGCTACGACGCCAAAGTCGTTCAGGCATCCCAGCCCTGTTCGTCTTTACGCTTTGCTTCAGAATACAGAAGCACAAGCAGCACGAAGATGCGCTCGTCTTCGCTCGAGAGCGTCGGGCTAAATCGCAGCACGGGAGGGCTGCTTTCCCCCGAGAAGATAGGGGTTATGGACGACCTGAGCTCAGCAACGCAATCGTCTTTCGAATTGCGCACCTGTTCCAAGGATGTAGTCAGGTGGTTGGCACCAACTATTCACAAGCATCCCACGCACCAACCAGCTATCCCCTGAATACCTCACGCGATACTCCTCCCCTTCGAGCCACCTCCAGTGCCGGGTGCTTGGTGCGAAGTCGAGTCGGTGGGGATGCTGGCGGGGAGAGCAAGGCGGACTCACGTCGAGAGGAAACCACTCTTTTTCTTCATCATGTCGACACCAGCGACGTTCGTTCCGATCTTGAACGTCTTTCGCTTCCAGTCAATCACAGCGCAGGCGGTGCCCACCCGGTTCTCGACGGCCGTCTCCAACCGGGACGTATGCTGATCATCACCATAGAAGGTTTTCGTGCTGTACCGCCGCGAGTGGTCGTTGCGGTACCGGATCACGGCTTTCAGGATGTTGTCAGAGTCGAAGACCAGGTCCTGCAGAGCGATGGTGATGGAGACCATGTATGCACGGATTCCGGGCAATAAACGGAAGTGAGAGAAGGCTGGAATGCTCAGAAAGGAGTTGTGGGTCGGATAAGTTGGTGCACATATATCAAGATCGGAGCGGGACAGGAGTTCTCAACGAAAGGTTCTGGCGAGGTTCTGGTGGGCGAACGGTCCGGCTGATCGTCATTCATTCATAAAGTAATTCGAAAGAGGATGGGATGAGTTCGTTGCAGCGCTATAGATAGGCGCGCTCGAGCATCTTCGAGTGTTGTTTTGAGTAGTGATGCTGACTGGGTCCCAGACTTGAAAAAGGCACAGGTGGCTATGCATGCATCATGGCTCTCACCAAACAACCTCAGATCATCGATCGTAATCTGCGCAGGGCAACAAAGTCATCTTGCAGTTTCAGGATAATTTCACGGAAGGTTCAAATCATGAGGGGTCTTCTCGCTGCTTACCCGTAAGGCTCTGTGCACTACTCTCACGTCAGCGATGCAGTAGTGGCCTCGATTTCGCTGACCATGGCCCGGGTGTACCTCACCTGAGCTGGGCGCTTAACCACATCGCATTCACACCTTCCCGGCCGGCCGCAGCTGCCGATTTTCGTAGGCATCATGCTATCATCCGCAGTGATGAAGGCGACTCCCTTTGATAAACGCCACGTCTCCCTTTTACACACCCAACCACCATGAGCACTGAACCCAAACGCCCCCGCGCGCGCGACATCGGAATCGTCATCGGAGAACTCCTCAAGCCTGGCAAGCTCAACAGCATCACGGACGTGCCACGGGTCAAGGTCGGGACGGCGCAGAAGATAGCTGGGAATCTGTCCTCGTTCGTTGCCCCATCCGCGCGCCTAATGGTTTTCTGACTTGTGTCCACAGGAAGGATGAAGAGGAGAGGAAGAAGATCGTGCGTGCAGGAGTGACCATTATCGGAACGGACGACATCGAGCAGGTGCCGCTCTATGCTGGGGTGGGCATCCTCCAGGGCTCTGGGGAGCTCACTGGGTACGATAATGTTGCATGGTCGATTATGTCTCGCAGATTCATGGCCCCATCCAGTTCTATATTCATAAAAGAAGGCGGGGAACTCACGTGTCCGATCGCGATCTCAGGAACGATGCACACTGGGCGTGTCTACGATGGTGAGCGCTGGCTCGAAACGTCCAGAATATGTTCTTGATTTGCGCTCAGCGATAAATGGCATCAACCCTTTGAGAATCCAGCTACCCGTGGTTGGTGAGACATACGACCGGATGACGCATCCTCTCTCGCACTCGGAGGTGTCCATGCCCGACTTGGTTTCGGAGGCGGTGGCGAACATGTCCAGTGAGAGTGTGCAAGAAGGCAACGTTGGGTTCGTTATTTATCTACCGATCCCTTCTTTCCATGGCGCTGATGCGCCTCAGAGGTGGGACGGGAATGGTTTCGTTTGGCCTCAAAGGGGGAACAGGATCGTCCTCACGCATCGTGCCAGGCTTGAATGGCACGAGTTACACAGTGGGTGTCTTGGTGCAGGTGCGTGGCCCCTCTTGAGCCCTTCGCACCAAGCTATAAACTATCTCCAGGCTAATCACGGCTCGCCTTACGATCTGGTGATTGGCGGTAAGCCAGTTGGCAAGATCCTGGACGAGGAAGGCTACACTGCCCCGTGGTTTCCGACGCATGACGCCCAAGTCAAACAGCTGCAAGATGGCGAAGGCAGGCAAGTCATCTGCGCTCCGATCCGTTTCCCATCCAACTCATAGCACCTCAGCATCATCGTCATCGTTGCCACCGACGCTCCGCTGCTTCCTCATCAGGTGAGTCCGTCAGCTGCATCGTTTGGAGTTGTCGATGACGTTGACAGTGCAGCGCGGTTGCCCGGAGAGCTGGTGTGGGCATTTCCAGAGGAGGAGGAGGAAATCACTTTTTCAGCGGTGGTACGCTCGTCCTCGAGCCTCTAGAGTAGCTCTCACATTTATCAGACATCTTCCTGTGCTTCAGCACAGCCAGACCGGAGACCCCTCGAGTCGCTCCGACGTACGAAACCCGCGTTCAGCCAATCACGACTTTCGTGGGTCACTGAAACTAGCCTCCCTTCTTGGTTTTAACCTTGGCATTGACAGACGGTGAACGCTGTACACAACGAAACGCTGGATTTCATGTTCCGAGCCGCAGCGGATGCGACGGAAGAAGCGGTCTTGAATGCCTTGTTCGCTGCGGATGATCTGGAAGGGTATACGGGAAGGAAGTGGCGCAGCCTGCCGGTAGACAGGGTCCGGGAGATCGTGCAGCAGTCTCGTTCTTGAAGACCGCGTCAATCAAAGTTGAGCACTATATATGTACATACTTATATCAGGCGAAAACACGTACTTCAATTAGTCTATAAATTTTAAGGAGCTATTGATGTTTCAACTTTCCATGCAGCTTGCGACTCTACTTGGACCGGTGAGCTCATTACGGCGAAGATCTGGTGATCGAAACACGATCCCGTGACAGTCACGTGGGTTTCATTCAACGCCATTCCACCAACTCGCAGCCTTCCTCCCTATACGACGCAAGAATTCTCTAAAAGCGGAACGGAATTGATCCCTTCACTCGCGTCTTAGTCTCTTTGTGGGTTGTAACAGCCCGACAACTGCCTAGAATAGTGAGTTGTCATTTGATATCATCAGAATGTGATGTTAAGATTCTTCAAGCAGAGGACACACCAGCCTATCCGACGAGTCCCCACCTGTTCCCACGCAGCTTGACTGATTATCCTGGAGAATTTGATTTCCGCAGCTCCACCGGGGTTTCTCGGTATCTGCTGCCCTCGTGCATCATAGGAATTTGCTCGACGCTGAAGCGCGGTGCTTGTGTAATGCTCCGACGCGGATCGGAGAACCTATCCTGCTGACAGATTCAAAGGAAAATGCGCTGTGAAAATTTAGAGTTCATCAAAAACACGGAGCAGCGCGCGACCGCAGGAACCCGCGCGCCTGACGTCAATGCAGATCCATGCCGATGGACAGAGTTCTCGCGCTCAAGACCGTACACGCAGATTCTCAAGCGTGTCAGGCGGTTTAGAGTACAACGTGCTTTGGTTCAGAATGTGGTCGTCAGCTTTCAGCTTTAATGTGCAGGCCGCTGGGATGCGCATATCCAAAGAGACTGCATAACATAAAATACGCATAACGATAAAGCGCATCATCTTTATCTATCGGGCGAGTGAGATAGTTGCTTGATTTCAATGCTGATAACGGCTAGCAGAGAGCACAAAGGGCTGCAGCGGCCCGGAGAGTAAGAATAGCTGACCGTCGAATGAGAGTGGGTGAGCCACACAGCTTCTGACCGAGAGCCAGCGGGCGGCATCCGTCATGAAAAATGACAAGTTACGGACCGGAAGAAGATCTGTGGATGGGAATTTTTTTCCAGAAGAAGACAGCAGGAGAGAAGAGGAAGGGTCGGCGGCCAATTCCGGCCAATGTGAATTTGGCTCGCCCTCACAACAAGGCTGGAGATTATCGAGTCAGCCCCACTGAATAAGCCAAGGAATCGAGTCCACGAATGCAATGTATGGATTTCGCAGCCAGATGCGCTGCTCAATCAGGTCTGAGAGGGATTGTGATTAGCGAGTGAGTAGTTTCGTCGCCGGTGGCACGTTGGATCACGTGGATCACGAATCCAGTGATGCCGGTCGAGTCCTAACCATCCACGGCCTTCGTTGACGCTTGGCACGACCCGGTTTCGCACGGACTCTCGAAGCTGAGCCTAACGCTCGTTGCGTCGCTTCTACAACAGGTGGCGACCATCCGGCGCGATGACCCCTCCTCTGTTTGTCATGACTCATTTCGTCTTGAACATAGGAATCAGAATGCGAGTCGAATAAATGCGTTCCTCAGCAACAAAATAATACAACATCTTCTCTCTTGTGCTTTTGCTCGACATGTCTCTCCAAGTGCCTAAGCTATTCCAACCGATCGTGGTCGGCGACATGCAGCTCAAGCATCGCGTCGTGATGGCCCCTTTGACCCGCTACCGCTCGGACAAAGAACGGATTCCTCTCCCGATCGTCAAGGAGTACTACGTCCAGCGTGCATCGCAGCCAGGGACCTTGGTGATCTCTGAGGCGATTTTCATCGACGAACGCGCCAGCGGCTACCGCAACGTTCCTGGCATGTGGTCTGAGGCCCACATCGCGGCATGGAAGGAGGTGTGTTCACGTCTTCAGGCAATCAACGACCGATCAAACTGTTGATTATTTTTCAGATCGTCGCCGCCGTGCACGCGCAAGGCTCATTTATTTACCTGCAACTGTGGGCACACGGTCGAGCAGCCCTCCCGGACACCCTGGGGGATAACCCGTATGTGTCGGCATCCGATATTCCGCTCAGCGATCGGCCCGCGGACGAAATCAAACCTCGTCCGCTCTCGACGACCGAGATCGCCGAGTACGTCGAGCTGTACGCGCGAGCGGCCTCCAACGCTGTGCACAAGGCTGGCTTCGACGGGGTCGAGGTGCATGGCGCGAACGGGTACCTGATCGACCAGTTTACGCAGGATGTAAGTAACGTGCGGTCGGATGAATACGGAGGGAGCATCGAGAATCGGGCTCGGTTCGCGCTGGAGGTCATCGATGCGGTTGTAGCCGCTGTCGGGCCCAAGAAAACGGGCTTCCGAATCAGTCCCTGGCACGATTACCAAGGTGATCCTCCCCGGCATGAACAGACTTCGATACTGACCGGGAGCATAGACATGCGCATGAAGGACCCCAAACCCACCTTCTCGTACCTTCTCGAGCAGATCAAAGCGCGGCATCCCGACCTAGCATTCATCCACGCCGTCGAGCCGCGATCCGGGGGACGGGAAGTTCTCGCAGACGAGGACATTCCAGAGTATATGAACAACGACTTCATCCGCGACATCTGGGAGTCTTCTGGCAAGAGACGACTCATCTCCGCTGGTGGATATACTCGCGAATCAGCCATCCGGGACGGTGAGAAAGGCGAACTGGTGGCCTTCGGAAGACTTTACATCTCGAATGTAAGTTCTGTCTGCTGTATCACTCGGGGCTTCGCACTGACAATGAGATCCATCAGCCTGACTTGGTCTCCCGCTTGCTCCATGACTACCCTCTGAACCCGTACGACCGGAACACTTTCTACGCCGAGGGCGTCTCTGATCCGAGAGGCTACACGGACTATCCGTTCTACACTTCCGAGTCACAGGTTGTGGGCTCTGGTTAGACTGGGTTCGTCACATCAGACACATCAAGCTTCCTGAAATTCTCCACGAAATGTCCGCAGAAAACCAGATTCCATCCTCGTACAGAAATCGCGTAGCTAGCAAATTTCCCATAAGAATAGAGTGATCTTTGCTGCTGCTTCCTCGCTGCGAAAATCGTGGTTCCTTCCATTTTCTGGTAAGCGATCTGCACCTTGTGGTGGTTTATGTAAATGACACCACGGCCAAATCTGCACTCGACAACAACTTTTTCGGTCTCGTCTTACTTCACACGCCTGAAGAATCTGGTCAAGATCCGCGAATGAATTTAACTATGCCTGTCGCTGTCGGCGTCATATTCACAGTGCATGTCAGCCAGAGCCAGCCAGCTGATGATATCACGTGATGATATGTTCAACTTATCAGCCGAGCAGCATCCTCCTACGGCACTGCCGATCCGATCCGTGATTCTGGCTCACCTTGATCTGGTCTAGGTCCTTTTCATTTTCATGCGGGTCTCGCTCTGGAATAGACTAGTTACAATATGTCTGTACTGTGACTCCATTGCAATTTTTGAGCTCACATGTGATGTTCCTGCCGTGACCAAGACATGACTGCTAGGACTCGTGACCCTGGGAATATATATCAAGGTTGATAGATGTTTGCAAGTTGCTTCAAGTTCATGAGATTGTGGAAACTCCCTCGCTCACGACCCGCTCTCCATGCGTTCGTCATCTTCAGCTACACGTTTAATATTAACTCAATATTCCATTCAGCCTCATTATCGGATCTAGATGCTGGCATTCTTACGCGCAGAACAGCAGGGATCCTCGCGCGATAGACCAACTCCAGCGACATCAGTTACATCACCCAAGCTACGACTCGGGAGCGTAAAATGGATAATCCGTGTAGCCCCTCGGATCTGAGACGCCATCGACGTAAAACGTATCCCGGTCGTACGGGTTCAGAGGGTAGTCATGTAGCAAGCGGGAGGCCAAGTCGGGCTGACCTCATTATCAGTACGGTGGCCTCATTAATCCAACAAAACTCACATTCGAGATGAACAGTCTCCCGAAGGCTATCAGCTCGCCTTTCTCCGCGTCTCGAATGGCCGATGCACGCTTGTACCCCCCGGCAGAGATGAGTCGCCTCGTGTCGGATGCCCAGATGTCGCGGATGAAGTCGTTGCTTACGTCTTCTGGGATGGTGTCGTCTGCGAGAATATCGCCTCCAGCGACTCGTGGCTCGACGGCGTGGATGAAAGCCAAGTCGGGATACCGCGCTTTGATCTGCTCGAGAAGGTAAGAGAAGGTAGGCTTGGGGTCTTTCATACACATGTCTATGCCCCAGGTCAGTATCGAACCCTATTTGATCGCGAATTCTTCACCTTGATAGTTGTTCCACGGACTGATACGGAACCCTGTTTTCTTGGCCCCACAGCGGCGACAACCGCATCGAGGATCTCCAGCGCGAATCGAGTCCGATTCTCGATGCTCCCTCCGTACTCGTCCGACCGCACGTTGCTCACATCCTGCGTGAACTGGTCGATCAGGTACCCGTTCGCGCCGTGGATCTCGACCCCGTCGAAGCCAGCACCCTCCACCGCATACTTTGCTCCGCGCGCGTAGAGCTCGACGTATTCGGCGATCTCGGTGATCGACAGTGGGCGAGGCTTGATCTCGTCCGCGGGCCGGTAGCTGAGCGGGATATCCGATGCGGACACGTATGCGTGTTCACCCAGAGTGTCCGGCTGGGCTGCTCGACCGTGTGCCCACAGTTGCATGTAGATGAACGAGCCCTGCGCGTGCACGGCATCGACGATCTAAAATCACATTACACGTGGTCCTCCCGCGGCATTGTCTTGCGACTCACCTCCTTCCACGCCGCAATGTGAGCTTCGGACCACAGACCGGGAACATAGAGGCATCCGGCAGCGCGCTCGTCGATGAACATGGCCTCTGAGATAATGAGCGTCCCCGGCTGCGAGGCCCGCTGGACGTAGTATTCCTTCACGAGCGGGAGAGGGACGCGGTCTGGATCAGAGCGATTGCGCGTCAATGGAGCCATCACGACGCGATGCTTGAGCTGCATTTCGCCCACCAGAATCGGCTGGAATAACTGAGGCACTGGGAGAGACATGTCGAACGACACCGAACTCGAGATTGGAGAAGATGCTTCTTGCTTGCAAACACATTTATCTGAATCCCAATCTGTTCGCTGCGCGCCGTATTACGCTTGGCCATGACGAAGGACCAGAGGAGTTACTCCTTCTATCCGCGATGGAAGTGAAGACCTTGCCTCCAGAGCGATAAGCGCAGAGCTAGGCGTGCTCTGCATGAGCAAGCATGGACGAAAGGCTCAGTTTAGCTCGATTGAGCTCGTAATACTTATTTGACCGCCTGTGGGTCAGCGCGCCCAAACAACCGCGGTGAGTCAACGAAATAACGCAAGTTTCTCCCGACGGTAGCGTAGTGATTGCGAGCCTGTTCTAATCAGTAGCCGCACGGAAGACATGCGAGCGGAGGTTCCAGCTCCCATCACGCAGCCCAATCCATTCCAGACTCACCTGAGTAGCGCATCGAAGCACCTACGCCTACGACGGATTCGGGGTAATTTAAGCACATCTTCGCCAGTGGCTCGGTGGGAACTTTTCAGTCTTGAATAAGCACCACTGCGGCTCATCACAGGCGAAGTCACATGCCCGGACGCTTCTCCGAATCGAGTCTCGCCTTTTGTCACCTAGGCCGCCTTCGAGGTCTCCTTCAGACTGGGCTAGATGCAACTCGATGAAGAAATGGGCGCACCGGTGTTCAGAATCTAAATAAGTTCGCAATCACTCCAAATATCGGACAGTCGGATATGAAGTTGAAGTTGATCGGAACAGAGGATCAACGGGATCAAGGCGCCAGAGATCTCCCACCCTCTCGTGCATGACTGTTCGGAAGCTGGGTCGGTAATCTCTTCTGACGCGACGGGCCGCTGCGTGCAGAACATATTATGCTATCCGTATGACTCCTCAGGCTGTCGAAGTGCGAGATACATCAGCAAGAATCGCGCAAGCAAGCAGCATTCGATTTGTGTCCCCGTCAAGCGCCACTTGAAGATGATCTGACACCATCGCTGAATAATACTGATCTGGATTCGGCACACCCGCTGCTCTCTCCAGACTCCCACGTCCTATTCCAATTCGCGCTAGCGCTCCAACTTGCTCCGAAGTTCTTGCTCGAGTTCATTGGAATTGCGACCGGCGCTTTTGGTACTCAATCCGTCGCCAGGGACAAGCCAGAGATGGGGTAACAACAAGCGGGCGCAGTACAGCGCGACCTTCGTGAGTAGCCAAGGTCACATCCGGGGCCAGTTGCTCCTGCAATTGTCCGCGAGAGTAAGTATCCCCGCTCACACGCATGTGCAGCACTCGCATCGCACGCCGAGTACACCGCAAACCCGTCCGCAGTGCTTGTGAATCTGCGTACGCTCCCCCGCCGTGTAAGTCCCGACATGATTCTACGTAGACCTCCCCTGCAGCTTCGCACAACACTTGCGTTGTTCGATTGATGCTCGAAATGCACAGCGCAGAATCCTCGGAGGTCGAACCAATTGAATACAGATCGCGTCTCACGCCACAGGGGTGCCGCAATGATCTTGGTTGCGCCACCACGACGTGTATGCATCGCGTGGGTGCGCGTGCGCTCTGAGCCCAAGATGACGGGGAAGAACCTGCTGGAAGGAACAAAGCTCGGTTGCGAAGTTTTGATTGAGTGGCGTTTTCGGAAGCAGCTTGTCGAAAAGGCACGTTACTACCACGTGACATAGTTCAGATCGGCGCTTTCAGATGGAATACAGAGCCAGGATGACTCGTGCCAGTCTATACTATACAAAGATTGCTGAACATTGTCTCGATATATCTACATACACTTTTGAAATCAACCAACATACAAGTAGTCCCTGGGTCCCGAGTCCCTGAATCACATCTCCACGTCCTGGCGTGCATACACTTCCTCCTCCTCATAATACACATGGCTCGTCGTGTACGCACGGATCGCAATGGACGGGGTGACCACGGGAAAGCTGGACAATGCGCGCGGCTCGATCCCCGACCCGCGATTTGCAGCTATTTGCTTGATGTTCAAGACGACGCGGGCACCGATCATAGCGATCAATCTGCGCTCGCGGTCAGTTAGGGATTCAACTCGTGGATGATTGGGGCTCACGATGTCGCGGGGCTGTAAGCGAGCCAGGGGTTTTGTCAGCTGCTGGTTAGTTTACGGAAGCGGGGGAGATGGACTTGCAGAATGGGGAGCTGGGCGAGCGTCGGCCGCGCTGTGTGCCAAATGACAATCTCCGCAGTCGCAAGCACTGAGAAGAGCCCCGTCAATCAGTGGATTAACAGTGATTAGGCCATTGCCTGGCTGCTTACGGACGACACCCAAGAACCAAAACACGCCGTCGCGCAGGAACATGGCGATGATGGGACCACGGCCGAAGGCCCGGGACGTCACGAGCGATAACCGACACCTATGGAGCGTCATAGCGAACATGGTCGTGGCCTGCACAGATGAGCAATCGGTTTCGCATGAGAGAGGCGAGCCTACCATCAAGAACGGGGGGACGGCGTAGTAGGTGAGCAGCCTCGGAACGTCTGAGCCGATAGGTGATCAGTGAGTGTAAACGCCCCTTGTCCTCAACACTTGCCTTGTGAATAGCATCCAGTCAATCTGGAAAAAATTCAAACGTTAGAAATGACTGCGAAGAAGATCGGCTGAGACAGTTTACCCGGGTGCGTGCACGTAGACTGAAAGATTGGTCAGCGAACGAAATTAAGAGGCGTGGACGGATCAGACTCGCCTTTTAGGTCGACGATGGCGAAATAACCGGTCACCAGCCTTATTTTGATCTCCTTGTCAGCAGCCGCAAGATGAAGCTCATTCGGAGGGAAGGCTCTCACATCCCGGTCAGCTCAGCTGCGGAAATGAGTCGCATGAAAGATCTCGGCGAAGTCCGAACATACCCATCAAGAGGGGAACGAGAAAGTACAGCAGTGTCCTGGACCGGTGGAACAGAATCCACACTCTGCCAGACGAAAATCACATTCATGTCTCAGAGAGGCTGTGATTGCGACATACCGCAGCGCCAGGATGAAGTCCGCCGACACGACAATCAATGTGCATGTTGATAATAAGACCTGTGTGAGGGAGCGCGTATGTGTGAGCTGCCGGGGATCCACGTCGTTTGGGGAGACTGACGCACGTAGAAAAAGTTTTGGCAGCTATGCGAGAGAACGAGAGAGAGAGAGAGACACGAATCGAGTCCAGTCAGCCGCGCCGCACAGACTTGGCAAGGGCCGCAGCACATGGCGAACTCACAACTGATCCGAAAGTCACGACCACCGCGCGAACAGAAAACGAAGACGGAGACGTACTCGGTCAGAATCCTGCGGTCGCACCAGGTCTGGCGACATATCAGAATCGAGATGCGAGAATCAGGAGACAATGATCAAGATCCCTCAGGATAATGATCATCATTCTTGGCTCACTGTAGACAGAGAAACTGTCAAAGTCCATCAACGGCGTACATTATTGTGCCTGGGTAGGGACAAACCAGATCACCCCGAGCGTGAAATATCGGATCTTGGAACTGTCCGTCAGACTGGTGACCGTGAGAGAGAGAAACTGGCGGACCCAAATCTGGACAAAAGCTCAACACGCAGGCGAGAGAGATAAGATGAGATAAGATGGGCGGAGGCACTAACATAGAAAACATTTGCGAGGCTGATCCGTGTCCTCCAAACAAGGTCGATCTGGGGGAGCGAGGTAAGCGAGCGAGATCGCGATGAATTCAATACTCCACCGACCTCGTCCCTGAGCGTGGCGATGTGCTCGACTCTAAGCGGCCAATTAATTTTTTCCCGGACCGCACGAGACCCGATATGAGGCACAACATACACGACAATGCTCAGTGCAGCGACTAGAAGGAGAAGCAAACAAAACAGGAATCCGTCAGTTCCAGCAAGAACAGAGTGGAGATTACTCACCAGCGAGCTCGTTGGTCAGTGTCGAGTCTTTGAGCAGCTGGAGAAGCAGCGCCTGCTCCGCACCCAGAGCATCGGCTGAACTCATGGCGGTCGAGGAGGAAAGAGCTAGCTTGCTCCACGCGACTCGCAATACACACGAAGGAGAGTGGGGGTAAGGGGGGGAGAAGAGCTTGCTTCACTGGACAGGCGATACACACGGACGGCTGGGAATTCACCCTACTTATATGCAGCACAAGGCATCGTTGCCAAGTTCTGCGTGGAAAACGTGCGCGCGTGGTTCCGCAGATGGCCGACCGCCCGACGCTGCTTCCGGACGCCAGATCACGCTCACGCATCTTGGGGTGTGCGTGTGTGTTTCCCACGGGACCGGTCCCGCACACATGTCCGATCCGGAAGTGTACCCCAGATACTGTATGGATCTGATGGAAGCTGAGAGGCTGGTGTGGATGCGGCGGGCGGGCGCACGAGTAATTTGAGTTATGTGCGACCTAATGAGAGGGTATGTCGGGATTCATTACGTTGGCCATTGGGTGAGAACGGGCACGGGTGCAAAGGATGTAGTGAGAGTCTCGGACTCAACCAGAGTGCCAGACTCGAAGGCAGGCCCCAGGGGGGGACCTGACGCACGTGACACACTTGGCGGGTGATTCTCGATTCATCAACCGATCAGTGATCCATCATCAGTCACAGTGATGTGCCCCTCTCGGTCCGACGGAGTCTCAATCACGCGAGCAGCATACACCAGCACACCCTACGCCTACCAATCACAGATCCAATGACCTCGAATCGACACTCCTGCATACCATACGTCCGCACCGTCTATAAGAATATCTGGCACTCCTCCCACCGGTACAATCGCGCCGTTCCCATGTGCCTGCTGTCAGGTCGAAATCGACATCAGCCACCCGCGCTGTCATTCTCACCACTTATGGCTCACCCATCCGCACAAGATAGATAATGGCGTTCTGCGGCAGTCGCGTGAGGCTGAAAATCGCGAAACCACTATAAATACGCTGTCTTGATCTTCTCGACCGGTGAGTCCAAGTAAACACTATCTATTTCTCCGGCCATCCATCTCGCCAGTGTGTAAGATCGTCGGAACCTTCTGTGAGTTCCTCAGAGCCTTGGCGTGTCGGAATCCGAGAAGCTTGCAACGACCACTGGGAATCATATTTCACGGACACTGAGATGAATACAAACAATGCTAATGACTACCCAAAACGAAACTACCGATAGCATATATGGCACAAGCTGGATGGTGCGGGTCAGAACCATTCCACCGTGAACGTCCACTCGCCCGTCTCGTAATCGAAGTTCTCAAAGTGCGTGGCTTTCATGTGTTTTAGTCGCTTGAGGGTTCGGATGGCAGCGGGATGCGATGGATCCTTGATCGGCTCCCGGGTGGCTTTATCTACAGCCCAGCAGTTCAGCAGTCGTATTCTGGCAGGCACATTGAGCCCGGAGCCGACAGGCGGCTTCTCCACCTCTGGGATATCGGGATAGACGGCACACTCCTTGTCGTCGAATTGGATGACCAGCCCAAACAGCTCGTCCAGCTTCTTGATCCCGGTCAGATCAACCGGCTTGAGGAACGTCACCTCGCCGTAACCCGCGCGGCCGACCGTCAGGCCTTTGTACGACGTCAGCTCCCCGTGGCTGGCCAGCCGCAGGACCGACATATCCGGCCGGGACCAGTACTCGCCCTCCAGCGGCTCAATCTCGTCGTACCGGTCACCATCCTCTGCGGCGGGCGGCGGCGCGGCTGCCGTGAACCGAGTACCGCCGCCGGCAGTCGTTCGGGCAGCGGGCGTCGGCGAGTCTTGGCCCGGCGAGTGCGCCTGCGTCCGCGCAGTCTCCTTCTCGCGCATCGCGATCCCCAGCGCGGGACTAAACACGATCTTGCCTCGGCCGGGCGACCCAGCCGTCAGTTCGTTCGCGTCGACCTTCTTGTCCAGAATCAGCTTCTTCACACCGCTGCGCGACCCGCTGCCCAGCGCCGGGCTCGCACTCCGCCCCAGCGCATCGGGGGATTGCAACGTGCGGCTCAGCGAGAGGGCTCCCGGGACAGCACTGGTGGTGAAGTTGAAGGGATTTGCGAGCGTAGGCCGGATCGCCGAACTCCTGGACGCGCCGAATCCGCGCAGCTTCGAGCTCGCGGGTGTCCGGCTGCGCAGTTGCTCCAGAGATGGCGGAGGAGGTGCGATGAACATCGGCATTCGCTTTTTCGGTGGAAGCTCCAACGCGTACGGTCCCGGTCCAGTCGGCAGCATAGCAAACAGGTCCGCAGATATTGGCTCGGCAATCGAGGCGGTGAGCATACCACTGGACGCGTTCAGATTGTTGTTGTTCATACTGCCGAACATTGAGGGGTTCGACTGAGTGAGTGCTGGCGCCAATGGTTTCGCAGCCGTGCTCCCGAAGAGGCCATTCGTTTGACTGTTCCCGAAAAGAGAGGGTCCAGCTTGATTTGTGTTCGTGCTCCCGCCTAGAGCAGGGAAAAGAGGAGCCGCTGGCTTGCCAAAGATACCGGTCGTGGCTTGCCCTTGCTGCTGCTGCTGCTGCTGCTGCTGCTGCTGGTTGTTGTTGTTGCCGAATATACCACCGCCGTTGCCGAATAATGGATTCGGGTTAGCCGGGGCCGCGGCATTTGTCGTACCACCACCAAAGACTGAGATCAGCGTCAGAAAAAGATCCACTCTGCGACTACATGAGAGCACGCACTGGAGCCAGTCGTCGTAGCCGGCTGCGCCGGGTTACTGAAAATCCCGCCAAAGCCAGCTGTTGGTTGTGCCGCAGGCTGTTGGTTGTTTGCGGTGCTGCCGAATAAGCCGCCGCTCCCACCGAATGTATTTGTCGTAGCTGGTGCAGCAGGTTGACCAAATATGCTAGGCTTCGGCGCGTTGGTGTTGTTGTTATTCCCTGTATCGCAGATTTATCAAGGACTGTTTCGAAAAATGATACTGGACGCATACCAAACGACCCAAAACCAGTAGTCGGCTGTGTGTTAGCGTTGTTTCCGAAGATACTATTGGTGGGTTGCGCGTTGCCGCCCAGAGGATTCGGAGTGGAGTTGCTGCTGCCAAACGCTGTGCCCCCTGGAAGACAATTGGTGATTGTGGATAGGCACACCAGTAGAATAAACGCACCAAACGTGCCAAATGCAGGTTTTGCCGCATTGTTGGTGCCTCCGAACACTCCGCCGCCGCCTCCAAAGACACCGGTCGTTTGAGGCTGCTGCTGCTGCTGCTGAGCCTGGGGCTGACCAAACGAGCCGAAGGGGGAGCTAGCCGCTTGCTGCTGCTGCTGCTGCTGCTGCTGAGGCTGACCAAACGCGCCTCCCCCGCCACCAAACACAGACGTCGAAGGAGCGTTGCTCCCTCCGAAAGCACCACCGAATCCCGTCGTAGGTTGCGCGTTGGTCGCTCCTCCAAATATCGACGCCTGCTGCGCTGGTTGCTGCTGCTGTTGAGTTTGACCAAATATACTCGTTGGCTGCTGGACACCGCCAAATGCAGCCGACTGCCCGAATCCGCCTGAAGTCTTTCGGCCTTGCGCGTAGTCTTGGAATCGTATTTCCTGGAAAAAAAAGTTAGGACTCCCGTGGACAAGTTCTATGATACAACGCACCTCGAAAGACGTTCCTCGATACGCGGGCATACATGAAATGGATTGATAGTTGAGTGTCACACTCGCAGAAGCCGGATCCTTCTCTGAGAACGCGGCATAGGGAGGATTGGAGGACCCTGTCGTAACCGGCGCGACATTTTCCGTGCCAGCTGAACGAGACAGACATATTCACTTCAGTTTTAGGAAAGAGGTCGAAAGAAGAGTACACGCACCTGTCGCGGCGCCGAACACTCCCGTCCCTGTTTTATTCGCGAAGAGAGACGTGCTCTGGGGTGTTCCGAACGCAGATGAATTGTTTGTAGCCCCACCAAACGCAGTTCCTTGGGTCTGGCCGAACGCGCCTCCTCCCCCACCAAATGCACTCGTGCCTCCTCCACCAAACGCGCCGAAGCCCTGTTTGGGGGCACCAAAGGCAGACGTCCCCGCGTTGTTCTGTGCATTGTTGCCGCCGGCAAACGCGCCTGGACGTTCTCAGCTCGAGATCGGATCTGACGGCAGCGAAAAAACACGCACTGAATCCACCACCGGCGTTGTTGTTGTTGTTCGTCGCTGGCGTCAGATTTCCAAACATGGGGTTGGCCTGAGGCTGCTGCTGCTGCTGCTGGCCGAACGCATTGGATGTTCCTCCGCCAAAAGCTGTATATGAATGTCAGTCGATCATCAGGACGCGCCGAACTGGACACAGTACCGGAACCTCCGAATGTCGAGGGCTGGCCAAACGCAGACGTTTGATTCTGCTGCTGTTGCTGTTGATTGTTGTTATTGGTACCCCAGTTAGATCCAAACATAGTGGAGGGGACGCGAAAGTGCAGTGGCCCAGGGCCAAACGAACTTTGAGGTGGGCCTGTGACTGACTCTGCCAAACGCTTTGACGAACGCTGACTCAGCTGTTACTGCACTGCCATTGTCACGGTACCGCAATGAGTCGCTGTCATGTTCGTGGCTATGCGACGACCTGTTCCGGAGTATTTGAGTGCTTGTGAATAAGGATCGACCCATCCAGATTCGACTCAAGGTCTTTATGGCTTTAAATTTGTTCCTGAATTGAAATCGCATCTGCCCGAGACATTTCTCCAGGCAAATAACCTCGCGTGCCCAAAAGTAAGTAGACCGGATTAGTTTGGCTTTGTTTATCTCCCTTCTAACATACTACGCTCCTTGGCAGTTCCCAAGTTCCCAAGGGCGGAAGGATGTCAAACGAGACCTACAACTGGCCGGTGGCATTTCAGGACGAGCAGTCGTACGAAGCCAATCGTGTTCACATCGCTCAGATGCAGGCGGCGCTCCATCAGGCTACTTTGGCCAATGAGGCTGGCAAGCAACACTATGATCAGGTACAGCGGGAACTCATGCGTAAGGTGCAAGAGGGGGAAGAGGCGCAGTACGTGTCAATGATGCTGGATTGTGGAAGGGTTTTCTGAGCCCCTCTTAGACGAATGCTGCAAAGTATGCAGTCCGGGAGGCGAGTGCTCACCTCCCTCAGCCAGTCAATTGTACTCAGCCCACTCCAGAGCTGCACCGCAACTCACATTGCATCCACATCAATCACCCGCAGCTGAGAAAAGAGTAAATCATGCGTCGGGGAGTGCGAAAGCCCAGTCATCCCCACGAATAGAGGAAGTTCTCAGTCCAGGATTACAGGTCCGTTCTTTTCCATTGCTCATCTCTTCTCTGATTGTTGTTGCAGAATAACTACACCTCCAATCACTACCAGCCGTCCGCTCAGGCATCACAAGCAATGTTGACTGCCCAGCCCGCCTATCCGGCATTTCCCCCAGCCCAGGTGCCAGCATCCACAGTCCGAGCCTATCACCATTACTACGCGTCGAATCCACGCGTACCATATCAAACCTCGTCATTTACTACACATTCACAACCACAAGTCTCCCCGCCAGCTCGTCATCCCGTCCCTGCTGCACCTCCAGTCGCTTCGACCTCGCGGCAATCTGCCCAGCCACAGCAGGACCCCATCTCCCACCCACCCCCACCCTTACCGCCTCAGACTGTCAATCCGTTGGACACGATCTCGCCAGCTGCAGCCCGCCAGAATCCGAATGATATTGCTAGCGGATCGCAGACCCGGCCGTCGATTCCACCACCACAAACGACTGCGCGAACCCAGCAGCCATCACACGCGTCGCTTCCTCAGCAGTCGAGTACGTCTCACCCTGGTGTGGATGGTGCAATGGGGAGCTCACGTCCCTCTGCGCCGGCCGCAGCACCGATACCTCAAGCAGTCCCAAAAAATTCACCTGCAGGTTTGGGCGTCAGTGGTGGTGCTTCACGGCCTGTACCAAATACTGCGAGACCCTCTGTACCTGCAAATGCAGTCGCTGGCAGTTCCACGCCAGTTCACAAGTCTTCAAGCACAGTTGAACCTCGCCCTCCTGCTGCGGCCCTCGCCTCGGCCGCTGTGGCGCAATCGCAGATCCCATCTGCCTCCCAGCCATCGAGTTCCCATACATCCCTCCCTAAACCACGACCACCCTCCCTTGCAAATCTACCCATCCCCCAACTAGATCCCTTGCCAGTTTTTCTTGCTATGGTGAATCACTGGCAGAAGGCCTCCCCACCCGAAGCTTTCATGGATATCCCTCATGCGAAAATCCGGATTATCAAACGTCCAGGGGCTCAAATATTCTTTTGGCAGTTGCAACCCGGGTCATCCGAGTTCATTCAGCTCAGTGCGGCAGAGGCATTGGCGAGAATGAATATGCAGCGCTCGGTCTCGATATTCGTCTCGCCGCAGGGCTTTCCCGTGATATTGCCGACGCCGCTGTCGGCTGAGATGACCAAAACGCATCCGCATTTCGCAGGGACTATCGCCGCAAATGCGCCGAACGCAGTCTACCCTGCGCCTGGACAGGCGTCCGCCAATCTCGTGCCGCCGCACGGGCGGTCGCCACGGCATGTCGATAAGCGCTTTCTAGCGCAAGACATACTGCGGGCTTTGGGAAAGGAACAGCGATATCGAGCCGCCGGTGTGGAGACCCAGACACTTGACGCGAAAGCGGCGGCGCCGAAGATCGCTCAAATACCAGCTGCGCCGCGACCTATGCCCATTGAATCTGAGCCTGTCCATGTTATGCCAATACCTTCCGCCCCAGCAAGACCCTTTACTGCGGACCCTATTGCGCCGCTCGCACCGGCAGCAGCAGCACCACCAACACTGGTACCATCATCGGCACCACCCGCTGTAACTCTCACTCCGCAGATCATGGACTGTGTATTGGTTCCACCCGGCCCATACGCGGAACTCGTTCGGCGTGACATCCGTCGCATGCGTGCTGCAGCGTCTCCGCGAGATGAGTCAGACGTGGACATGCGAGATGTGGATGAGCTGGTGGTCGATTTCAATGACCTGAAGCGGCGGCGGTCATTAGGTATGGCGAAGCACCCATCATTGCCCCAGTCTCGCACTGAGCCACAGTAGGGTCGTACAGCAACACGACGAGTTAGTATTGAATGTCATCGGGTTCTATCTTCTTTATAACATGAGCCTGTCAGATGAGGGAGAAGCGGCCGCCATGCTCGAAGCTTGTTCCAGAGGGAGAATGGTTCGGTGTCGGTGGATCGCTTGCGACGCTATGCTCAACTGTCTCGAGAACGCAGTCGCTCATCTCTACGAGCATGCACAAGAAAATCCGCTCGAACCAGTAAGTGTTTTCTTTCTTCTAGACTGGGGTCGTTGCTAATCGGTCAGTCCTGTGCTTGGAACTTTTGCGGCCAACGATTCTCGGACAACATCCATTTGGCTCTGCATGTGGAAAGACACGTCCTAGACAACATTCCCTGTCCTTACCGAGGTGGGAACCAGCGTCTTTCCACTTCAACGTTGGGAACTGATCAACTCAGGCTGCCAACGCATCTTGCGCAGTCCGGCTGAACTGATGATACACAACACCACCCATACCAATAGCCAGTTGCTACCTAGCACTCGACCCGTCGCTCCCCAATATCCCCCGGATCTGCCGCCAGTCCCGAAGAGCGTGCCGGCTTGGGCCCAGTTCCAGCCAGGTCTGACTCAGCCGGTGATCAGCCGGGATTGGCACAAAACGCTCGGTTCCCGTGTCCTGCAGAACATCTTCGGGCCTGTTTCGGAGTCGCGTCTTCGCCGATATAACGCCGCCGTGCCGCTCAGCGGGGTCAAGGAAATGTGCCCGGACTACGAGTTTCTGGAATCGTCTTCGCGCCACTACTCGTTCTTGCCGTCTCAGCCTGCGAGGGTGCGCGAAATGGCTGCGCTGGAGACGAAGGAGGTCCAGGACAGGATTGTGAGAGGCGACTTTGTGCTGTGGCCACAGCCTAAGTTGGAGCCGGTCGATTGATAAGCCCGATTTGATCTGATCTTACATGCTTTCAGCTTGCTGTATACGTAGACGCATTTGCGATGCCACATCTATTAAGGCCTTGTATCCGAGCAATTATTGGCAGTAGCAATCTACATGTAGCCTAACGTTTTGTTTGGTTGTCACATTTCAATCACGACAATCCACACACACCGGCAGATTATTATTAAAAGAGGCCATAAAGTTAGAATTGTATCTTAAGTATTGATGCACAAAAAGTGAGCTACAATAGGTAAATCGATATCTTAAGAAAAAGGGAACTTGATCGACTTCCCGTTATATCAGGTATTGTGTCTCAAAATGAGGCTTGCAAATTATTGAGATATTATTTCTGATCAACAGTGTCCTTTTTCTGGTCAGTTTTTGTAAGATATCATGGCCCGGTTATACCCGATAGATGGTGGCGTACAATATCGCCCTCAAGCTCTTACAAAAAAAGTCAAAGATAAGCGGCTCAGATATTTGAGAGATCGCGGCCCGAAAACGGTCCGCACACATATCTCCAATATCAGGTCCTATTTTATATATCGGCTGACAGTCGCCTGCTCATCCATTGCTCATCGGCCACTCATCCAACATTCAGAAAATGAATTGATATTGAGATAGTCAAGGACGACATATATCCAGTAAATCAACTAGTTGACAAATCAAGGACAACACATTGACCCTCAGAGAAATTGAAACGCGCATAATGAGACACAACATTGTGAAGAGGGACTACATCTACAATATTACTCATTGAAGGAGAATATGCGTGCACTGTCATAGTTCGGCCACTTTTTCATCTTATCTTATCTTGGCATGACTTATCTTATCACAGATCACGGCATCAGACGGCCCGGGTTAGGGGTTCCAGGGATTATCTGTAAGACAGTAGACTCAGTTGGGTGCACAATATAAGGGCAAACGACTGTATTGTACCTGTAAGACAGTAGACTAATACGTGTATGTAAGTAAGAAGTATCGGGACAGTAAAGTAAGGACGTACCTCAGTCGGGTGCACAATATAAGGGCAAACAACTGAGGAACGTATAGTAAGGAGCGCGGTATATATAGGGTAGATCGGTTGTGAGGAGATCGGTAGATAGGTGATTGGTAAGATAAGTCTAGATTAAAGGGGAGGTCATACGTGCCGGAGCACCGATTATATGGCCAACCGAGCCTCTATTTTGACACTCCCCCTGGCGAGATGGTCCATATGTAAGTATATACGCAGGAAATGAAATGAAACAGAATCAAGACCATGAGGAAGAGCAAAGCTCCTCCTCACTTGGGCATCTCCGCCCCACTCCCATCCACTGCACCCACCAAACCAAGACAATGAACGAGAGCCAAATGAGCATCACGGGGAAGGATCTTAGTGAACAAGTCCACCAGATTTTCGCTAGACAGAACGTGCTGCACCTCAATGTCGCCCTCCTCAACGAGCTCGCGGATATAATGCTTGCGAACATCAACGTGCTTAACGCGCGCGTGACCACTGGCATCCCTCGCCATTGCCTCCGCCCCGAGATTGTTGCCATGAATGATGGCTGGTTGCTCTTGTGGCATTTCCAGCTCCTCTGTCATGATTCAATCATTTTTCACATTCATTCCATCGATCACCTTATCTTATCATTGACATGGGGCTATCTTATCACGGATCACAGCACCGCACGGTCCGGGTTTAGGGTTCAAGAGGGTTATCTGTACAAGAGGTCGTGCGGTGTGTGCTCCAGAAGTCTATACTACAACCCATGACCAAAGCTCGACACAGTACATAGTCAGATGACTTGTTTGATGTAGATAAGACTCAGACTGGACTTAGTATAAATACAGTAGCCATTGTGTTGTATTCCCCAGTCTTGGAATTGACTTGTCTTTTTGATCGTATTCTGTGTTGATTGTCACATCCTCCAGGAAACTGTACATCCACATCGCTTGCTTCGCTCTGTGGGACAACGCAACATATTTGGATTCTGTGGTCAAGGTCGCAACGATGGACTGCTTCTTTGACAACCAAGACACTGGCCCGCCCGACATCATGAAAACCTCGCCTGAGGTAGAGCAATGTGAGTCCAAGTCTGATGCATAATCCGCATCAACCCATCCGATCGGCTTTATACCATTGCTGCCGCCGCGTGTGTATCTGATGTGGTATCCCAGAGTCCCTTTGATGTAAGCAAGGAGATGGAGGACCGCCTTCCAATGTCCGGGACCTGGGTTCTGGAGGTACGCGGCGAGACAATTGACGGCAAATGATATATTGGGACGGGTTGTGTTAGCAGCATAGAGTAAAGATCCGACAGCTTCGTGATACGGCTTGTCTGCCATGTAACGGGTGTCAGCGTCAGTTGTTGGCGACTGGTCACGTGTGAGTACACAGCCAAGGGCCAACGGAGTTGATTTGGCATTGCAGTCGGACATCCCATAGCGTTCCAAGACATGCTCCAAGTATGGTCAAGACAAGACTGTGATGATCCTGGCCTCCTCGTCATAGGTGATTGTCATCCCAAGCAACGTCGCAGTCCGCGGAACGTTGGTGACCTTGTAAACCGCCTTGATGCCCTCCTGCGCTTCCTTCGCTGCAGCTGTAGTCAACGAGATCCCATCCATGTCGACCGTGTATACACCAAGAATCGAAGTGCCTGCCTCGCTATGCTGAATCCGGACGGCTGGATCTGCACGTGAACGAACCCATTCTAAGGCACCCAAAGAGGCATTGAGGTCTTTAGCCCAGTTACGACCCGACTGCATCATTCCATACAGTGAGCGCAATGTGATAATCAACAAGAAATAATGTCGAAAAGAGAACTGAATTCGAAGACTGGAGAATACAGCCAGGTAGCTACAGTATTTATACCCAAATCCAGTCTGAGTCATATCTACAACTAACGAGTCATAGGGCTATGTACCGCATGGAACACTGGTCATGGGTTGTAGTAGAATCTTCCGGAGCATATGTCGCGCAGCCTTGAATCGATAAAGATGACCCCTGTCCCCCAAGCCCGGACCGTCAGATGCTGTGATCCGTGATAAGATGATCCGTGTTGAGATAAGATGAGATCGTCGAGGATAAGATGAAAAAGAGTCGAATTATGACATTACCCCCTCTCTAGGGTCGATGTCCTCATCGACTAGGTCAATGGGCATGAAGACATTCTCGTAGGGATCGAAGAGTTCTCGCTGGGGATATGGAAGGCGTTCGTCCTTGGGTTTGTAGCAATGGATGAGATAATCCCAGTGTCCAGCTTCGAGCGTTGGCAGGAGGCGAATGTGTGTGTCTGGGTTGGATTGTTTCCTCTGCCAATCTCTCAGGATCTTCTTTGCGTGGGTAAGGTGACGTGATGGTCCCCAAGTATTTTCGCTATGCGGCCAGCCCTTCCATTTGACCAAGTACTGTTTTCCTCGGCCGACGTTTCGCTCTTTCACAATCTCTTCGACTTCCCACTCCTCTGCTCCTCCGATCATCTTGGCTACGGGTCTCTTCTCTCGGCGATGGGGGGGTGGTTCGTGATATGGTGTCAATAGTGACTCGTTGAACACCAGGTGTCTTCAGTCCGTGTCCGGCAAATCCAGCTTCCATGCGGCCGCTCCAACCTTCTCCAGTATCTCGTATGGTCCTAATCTCTTGTCGCTCATCTTCTTTGATGGTCTATCCGTCTCGATATTTTCCCCCTCTATGTACACCTTCATCCCAACCTTCAACTCCGGAACTTCTTTTCTTTGTTTATCGTAGTATTTTTTCATTTTTTCTTTTGCTTTTTCCAATGCTGCTTTTGCTTCGTCTTGTATTTCTTTGATTCTTTTTACAAACTCCTCCGCTGACTCGTTCCTTGACTCCATCCGCTGCTCCACTCCCTTCCATGGGTGATATCCGTGATTGGCGTAAAACGGTGATATTTTGGTAGACGTGTTCATCTTGTTGTTGTATGCGAACTCCGCCATTCCCAGCCACTCCGACCAATCCGTCTGATGGTAGTTGACGTAAATGCGGAGATAGTGTTCGATCTCCTGATTCATGCGTTCCGTTTGTCCATCTGTGATCGGGTGATATGCGGTCCCCGGATTCATTTCCACGCCCAACATCCGATTTGTCTCCCTCATGAAGCCCTTGATGTAACGCGAATCCCTGTCGGTGATGATCTTGCGGGGGATTCCGTGGTAGCGGAAGACTCGGTCCCTGGTTAATCGTGCGACTCCTTCACTGCTGATGTCAGTACTGATTGGTTCGACATGGATCATTTTGGTGAAGGTGTCACACCACACATGAATTGCGTCATACCCGTTACTGACCGGTAGGGGTCCGATTTGATCCATGGAGATGATTTCCCATGGCGCATTTGGGACTGCATGCGGGTGCAGAGTCCCTGTCCTTGCTCTCCTGGTCTTGGTCCGCTGGCACACCTCGCACGTCTGGATGTATTTCCGGATTTGGTTCCCCATCCTTGGCCACCAGTAGTTCCTTTCCACCATTTCCTGCGTTCGATTGATCCCCGCGTGTCTGACCAAGGGTGTGTCGTGGTGTAGCCCGATGATCTTGTCTCGTAGTTCCTCGTCCCTCGGTACGTAGAGCTTCCCGTGGTATGTGATGAGCCCGTCTTCCTTTTTCCATCCAGCGAGTGACTTCTCCAAGGCCGCCTTGACGCTTCCATCAATCGATCGAGTTGCCTTGATCTCATCAACTAGCTGCTGATCTTGTCCCTCGAATGTGACTTCTTGTGATCGGAAGAACTCGGGCTTCAGTAGGGTGACGTCCTTGTTGTCATTCTTGCCCTGATTGTGATCCGCTCGTTGAGATAAGAGATCCGCCTTGCGGTTGAGTGCGCCGGGCTGGTGTCGTAAGGTGAAATCAAACTCCGCCAACTCCGTGATCCATCGTGCTTGCCGTCGATTGAGCTTCTGCGGCTTCCGGAAGTACTCGAGATTCTGATGATCGGTGAAGATTTCAAACGTTTCCGTGGCCCCCAGCAGTAATTGCCTCCATTCGTCTAACAATAGCATGATGGCGAGCATTTCCTTGTCGTAGATCTCATAATTTCGCTCGGTTTCGGTCAATGCGTGTGAAATAAATGCGATTGGGCGCCAAATGCCATCTTGATTTTGGCTCAAAACGGATCCTGTTGCCCCTTCCGAAGCATCGGCTTCCAGACGATATTGGCCGGTGTCGTTTGGCAGTGCTAAGACCGCATCCTCTGCGATTCTCTTCTTCAACCCATCAAATGCTGCACGCTCATCCGTACCCCATGACCATCCTGCCTTCCCTGTCAGCCGAGTCAACGGCTTGGCAACCTCCGCGTATCCCCGGACAAAGCGTCGATAGAAGTTTGTGAACCCTAGAAATGCTTGGACTTGTTTGACGCTCTTTGGTTCCGGCCATTCCATCACGCCCTTGATCTTGACTGGGTCCATCCGCATCGAATTGTGTCCAATAATTACACCCAAATATTCGATTTCCGTGCGTTCGAACTCGCACTTTTCGGGCTTCAGGTATAGCTTATGTTTCTGGAGCAATTCGAGCACTCGTTTCGTGATCCGCCGATGTTCGTCCAAGTTCTCTGTGAAGATCAGTATATCGTCCAGATAGACTACCACGTGACCCTCGTTGATCAACTCTCGGAGTATGTCGTTCATCATGTTTTGGAACGTTGCCGGAGAATTCGTGAGACCAAAGAACATAACTAAGGGCTCGTACAGCCCTCGGTTTGTGCGGAATGCAGCCTTCCACTCGTCACCCTCTTTGATCCGTACATTGTTATATCCCCACCGGATGTCGAGCTTGGTGAAGAACTTTGCGCCGCATAAATTATGGACCAGTTTGGAGATCAGCGGCAGCGGGTATCGATTCCGGATTGTCATCTCATTCAGCTTCCGATAATCTTGGACGGGGCGTAGCGCGCCATCCTTCTTCTTGACAAAGAAGAATGCTGATGCCATGGGTGATTTTGATGGCCTGATCCGTCCACTGGCCAGGTTCTCCTGCAAGAATTCGTCGAGTTTGACTTGTTCATTGCGTGATAACGGGTACACCTTGCAGTCCACTGCTTTGGAACCAGGTTTGAGCTCGATTGCATGATCCCATGCTCGTCGGTCCGGCAGCGAGTCGAACGATTCCTTGGCGAATACCTTGACAAATTCCCGATATTGATCTGGAATCTTCCCCTTGGTCATTCTCTCTTTCTCCTTTTCCGCTTCTTCTGCGAATTTCTGTGCTGGCGTTTCCTTCAGCCGTAGATCCACTTCCTTCCCAAAATCGACCAACAGGATCGATTCTCCCTCTTCCAGATCCGGCACGCCCGTGTCCAGGTTGATTGCATCCATGTCAATCATTGCTTGGTGCTCCTCGTGACCCCTCATGTGACACCGCTCTGGGCATCGGCTGAATTTCATGGTCTGCTCCTGCCAATCCACCTCGGGGTTGTGTTCCATCAGCCAATCAAGACCGATGAAGATCCAGGCTTTCCCTAAGCACGTCAGAAGGAACGTGCATGTCTCCATATGAGGACCAATTCTCATCCTCAGATCGATGTAGTGCGTGATCCGACCGCTGATGTTCTCGGTGTTGTCGGCATTACGAGCCACAATGGGTTGTGGAAGCTCTTGGATATCCAACTTCTCCGCCCGTGCGTAGTCGGTGTCGATACAGCAGGTACTGCAGCCGCTATCGAGCAGCGCCTTGACTCCGCGCGTTTTTCCTGAGTCTAGACCCGTGATCTGGACATATACGTCCATCGAATGCCTCTTCCTTTTGGCCTGGTAACTGCGCAATTCCTGCGCCAACCTGCTGGGCTGGGGGCCCTTCTGTTTCTCGGCCGCCAATTTCCTCTGGACGGCATCTGGCACCCTGGTGCGTTTGGGTGCTTCTGGAACCTCAATTTCGGCAGATTCCTTAGGCGCTTCCTCCTTTCCCAAGGATTGAGCCTTCGGAGCGATGCTCCCCTTTTCGGTCTTTGTTGACGTGGTTCCTTCTCCACGAGCCATAAATACGTATGAATCCAAAATTAATTTATCTGCAGCTTTCTGGTCTTTTTTACTTTGTAAATACTCTCTATTTAAAGCTATTTTTCGTTGGCGTTCTTTTTCCATATCAGCAATGAGAAAATCGTGAATGTTGGTACGTAGTGAGTCCGAGATCGTGTATGTATGAGGAGAATTGTTCATATCTTTAATCGAAACAAGTACAGAAAAACGTCCATAGTCCGGACGCTCCACCTCCTTGGCTAGAGGAGTGGAGCGCTTCAAAAACCCTTCTCGTGCAGCTTCTCGGCAATCTCCTTGAGGAACTCGTTGTCCTTATCCCCGTTCTCGATCTCTTCCAGCATTGTGGCCCAATTGAAGAACGTGCGCTTCTTCTTGGGCTCCGGACAATTCCGCGCGATGTGTCCAGGCTGCTGACAGTTGTAGCAGATGATATTGCGGCCGCGGGCATGGGTGCGATTGATTTCCATCAGGACCGGTTTGTTGGAAGCCGGTCGGGTCGGAGCAGGCGTGGGCGCCGCTGGTGCTGCCTGAGGGCGGAATTGGGGAGGAGGCAGTGGAGTCGAGTGCGCATAGGAGGCCTTACGCAGCTGATCGCGCAAGGCATTGGCCTCGATGTTGACACACCAGTTCTTGAAGGCACCATATGCCTTGGGCAGGGGAACGCCGGTGTTGTAGAGGCGGCTTGCAATTTCGCTGCTGAGTCCGCGCTCCAGGAACTCGATGAGGATGTTGTCCTGTTCCCCCTTCTTGTACTCGCCCTTGCTGTCGGTGGAAGTGACCACGTTGTACCGCGCGTCTGCAGCCAGCATTTCGAAGTCGGAGATGTAGTCCGCAAAGGACCGTCTGCCCTGGCAAAGGGCCATGAGTCGGGCGGCAGCGACTTGCTCTGCGTTGGAATCCCCAAAGGCCCTCTGAAGCTCCTCCAAGAAGCTTGTTGCGGTGACTCCCGCCTTTAGTCCTTGGAAGCCCTCGAAATTGTGCTGCTTCCAGTTCATCGCCCATCTTGAGGCGGCGCAGCTTGTGCCGCTCTCATTTCGGAGGTAGGACAGGACGAAGAGGATTTTTGTCTCGTCCAGCGAGAACTCCGACCGATAGGCACCGATGTAAGTGGTGCACACGTCCACAAAGCCCAGGTACTTGGACTTGTCGCCATCGAAGTAGGGAGGATTGGCGGCGAGGGTGATGTGGTGATGTCCTGACATGGTAGGAGCAGGTGTGGTAGGTGGGGGCAAGGGTGGTTGTTCGGAGGGTAACTCGTCAAGGTCGGTGATCTTGTCTTCAGGAGGTGGGAGGGCGAGGTAGGGGTTGGAGGGCCCGGGTTGGTTTTGATGCGCCAGATCGGGCGACGATGGTAGGATGGGAGGAGGAGACGGACTCCCAGACGACGATGGGAATCGGAACGAAATGGTGGATTCGTGTGCTGTACAAGCACTCGAGGGAGGGTTCTTTTGCTAGCAAAAAGATCCCGGGCCTAGCTCTTCACGTGCCTGATGATCCCGAGGTGCGTTTTCCCAAAGGTCTCCGCAGCACTCCTTGTAGCTACCGTAAGGCTTGGGTCGGGCTCAACGTTACCCGTGGCCTGGTGCTGTTTGCTCGATATGAACCCTTCACTGCGATCGCAGAGGACGACTAGATGATTCGGTAAAAGGGTAAGTGGGGTGATAAGGATGAAGAGGATATAGCGGGCGTAGCGGTGCGGTGATGCAGGGTAGGAGGTAAGAGGTACGAGGGTATGAGGGGAGTCTTCGAATTATGTGATAATCAACAAGAAATAATGTCGAAAAGAGAACTGAATTCGAAGACTGGAGAATACAGCCAGGTAGCTCCAGTATTTATACCCAAATCCAGTCTGAGTCATATCTACAACTAACGAGTCATAGGGCTATGTACCGCATGGAACACTGGTCATGGGTTGTAGTAGAATCTTCCGGAGCATATGTCGCGCAGCCTTGAATCGATAAAGATGACCCCTGTCCCCCAAGCCCGGACCGTCAGATGCCGTGATCCGTGATAAGATGATCCGTGTTGAGATAAGATGAGATCGTCGAGGATAAGATGAAAAAGAGTCGAATTATGACACGCAACATGAGACAGACTTTGTCCTCCTGCCCCGGGACAGTGAATCCCTTGGGTTGACACATGTAGATAGTCTCCGTCATCTTCGCATTGAGGTACGCACTCACAACGTCCATTGCCCACATCACCCTGCCAGGTTCATCCACGCAGATTGCCCAGAGCATTTGCAACGGTTCGTAGCAAACAACTCCGGCATATGTTTCGAAGAAGTCCACTCCCTCGATCTGCTGGAATCCTTTGGCTACTAGGCGTGCTTTCCACTTGATAATCTCACCAGCTGCGTTGTACTTGACTGCATAGACCCATTTGCAATCAATCACGTTTGCATCAGGAGGCGGGTGGACAAGTTTCCACACCTCCCGACCAAGCAGTGACGCGTACTCCTTCTCCATTGGACCCAGCCAGAGATCACGACGCTTCATCGCCTCCCAATAGCTCTGCGGAATCGGAAGAGTCGAAATATTGTGAGCCTCAACAGCTCGCGTCTTCTGCTTGGGCCGTCTCAAATCAGTCGCCCAATCCTCCCCAGCTGCTTTCGCAGCTAGTTTGGTCGACTCAGTGGCAGAGGCTCGCTCCTGGGCTTGGGAAGCCACGGTTTTACGGGCTGGACGTCTTGGCTGGATAGGATCCGACTGTTGGTCCACAGGATCTGGCACACTTGGGACATCTGTAGGGGGGATACTTTGGTCAGTATTAGGAGAGACAGTGATTTGGATAGGAACGTGCGGAGTAGGCTCGACAGCCTCAATATCTTCTCCCCCTGCTGTCGCAGCCTGCGACCAATGTCCTACACCCTCATCAAACACCACATCCCTTGCATCAAAGAGCCTCCTCCTTGCCGCATCCCACATCTGATAACCGGCGGTCCTGTTGTATCCGACCATTTGGGCCTTGAGGGTTTGTGAGCTGAGTTTCCCATTGCTGGCAGATGCAGGAACAATCTTCGCATAGCCCGCGGAACCAAAAACGCGTAGGTGCGATAAGTCCGGCTTAACACTGTGGAAAACCTCCCATGGTGTCATTCCTCCGGTTCGCTTCTTGGGATGAAACCATTGGAGGTAAGTTGCCATCTCGGTTGCTTTTGGCCACAGAGACTTAGGCAGCCCAGAATCAGCAAGAATACAGCGCATCAATTCAATGGTGGTGCAGATACCCCGTTCGCCGATGCCATTCTGTGCAGAAGAGTGGGGAGTAGTGACTTCGGAGATGATTCCTGCGGTCTGAAGGTACGTGTCCCACATTGCATTCTTCCACTCTCCACCACCATCTGTGCGAATGTGCTTGACGCGCTTACTGCTCTGGGGCTCGATCTCTGCCCTGACGCATTTAAAGGCCTCCATAAGGTTGACCAGGTGGGACATGGTTTGTTTTGATTTCTGGAGACAGGCAAGTGGTCGGGGTCCTGGGACCGTGTTACTTTTCACCTCATACCTGCTTCCTAGGAGTGTCAATTGCTGATGCTATGAGCCCGTTGATAGGCTGGCTACCAGACGCGCTCTGCACCAGCTCTGTAAGGGCGTATTTTTGCGCTTTTTACAGAGTTTACTCTTGAACCATTCAGTGTATCGTGTCGCGGTTGACAGTGTTGCGCTCAGTAGGACTTAAGGGTCTACTGCCCAGTCGACGACTGTGGATAGTGTCGACGATAGCAAGGCAGTCAGACCACTACTGTGGAACTGGTCTTATGGGTCTACACCAGGCTCAGGGCCATTAGTGACGAACGCTTGGACCGCGACCATTCCCCACAAAGGGATCTGTCGTTGCGTCGACTTCTCAAAAAGGGTCATTCTCTGCAGATGGAACTTGGGCTGAAGGGCTGAGCAATGCGCGACGTTCTCAATAATAGAACTACTACTGGACAGGACTTGGCGTTACGAGACTTAAACCATCTTGTCGCGGCAACTCCCGGTTTGGAGTTGGACGTTTCCTCAGATCATGCCACGACGGCGGCTTGTCACATGTCAGGATCCATTCGATCACGGGACATTGTGGACGCGTCGCGGTGACGCTTCCAAGTGTCACGGCGAGTCGCGCCCATACCCAAACACACTAGAAACCGACACGGTAAGATCCGTGAACCGAACCATGTGGGGGACGACTGGCGTGCCTAGGGCCATACGGCTTCTCGGGGCGCCCACGTTGGTCTCACTTGCCAAGACATACCCGTTGGCCAATCCAGCACGTCGTATTCCAAAAGTATGACGCGGTGGGTTGACCCACATCAAAAGTATCATATGGACTATGGGGCGGGGTCCTGATCACTCAGGACCTGTCCGATCGTTCAACTTTTCAATTACCCTAAAAGGCAACCGATCTTAGATAGCGTAGCTACTATGCAGTTGTACAGGACTTTACTAAGCAGCGTCGTAGACAGTATAAGTAGCACGTCGTCTCTTTGTATTAGGAAGCTTTCCCCCGGACTGTGAATCACTCTCATATCAGATTGTTTTGTACAATTTGCGTGCCGCGTGATTCCACCCTAAGAAGTTCTGCCACCCCTGCCCGGTCGCGACGAGTTGCTCCCTGAGCACTTGTAGCTACTGTGATTTGAGTTTGAGTTGAGACATCAGAAAGTCGGATTCGCCGCATCTGGTTTAGTCGCGGCATTTAGTGTCGTCGCCTTCGGGCTTTGTTGAGATCGTTCCACACCTCTAGCTTGGCAGTGCGTCGACTAGTTGTGCTCGGGTTGTTTTGGTCAGTTGGCAGTGCGTCGACTTGAGAACTTTGGTTCCACACTTCTTGCTTGGCAGTGCGTCGACAAGTTGTGCTCGGGTTTTGGACATTGGATATTGGCTGTTAGTTGGCAGTGCGTCGACGCGGCATTTTGGTTTACTAGTTGGCAGTGCGTCGACTCAGTACTTTTGGTTTTGTCAGTTGGCAGTGCGTCGACTCAGTATATTGGTTGTATCGGTTGGCAGTGCGTCGACTTGATATTTGAGCTTTGCGTCGCCATCTGGACGCTGTCGCTACAAGGGATCTTAATACCTCGTATTAAGCTCTGACTTGTTATATTGTTGTTTGTGGATTGGATTAGTGTTGGTTGTGTTCGTATAGAAGATATTGGTTGAGACACCATTGTTTGCTATATATAAATTCTTGTCGTCGACTTCGTCTCCGCGACTATTGGATCTGCGTCTATTGAGAGTTGTGATACTGGTGCTCTGTCCACCCCGAAGCCCTCGCATCTTTCACACACTGAGAAGCTGATTACGAGGAGTGTGAACGTGTTTTATATTTGGGTTTACTTTCATAGTAGATTCACTTGTGAGCACGCCCTCAGCATTTCATCTGGAGCCCACCGCGAGGGGCTTCTAAAGTTTCATAAACTTTAAAAATCAATAAACCGGGTTCTTTACCGCGACGTCGGATAGAGACCAAGGGTTTATCCCGCGAAGCAGTTTATTTCGATCCCAAGCTCCTGCGCGACCTCTCGAGGACCAAGCGGAGATTGAGACTGAAGGAAACGCTTCAACCTCAGGACCTTTCGAAAAACCACGAAGGTCTGCAAGACATGAAACACCTTTGTATCTACCACCCTTGCCTTCCAAGGCAAAAGGAAAACAAAGAGTGAATTCGACGTCGAAGCTTCCAGCTTTAGACACAGCTACTTCGAGTTCGACGACAATCAGTCGATCTCAGACTAGCTCACAAACCCTCTCAGAATTGTCAAGTAGCGTCACCGCTACAAACACGAATTCTAACAACATCCCTACTTCCCCTGTGACTTCAGTCGCGACAACTATGGCTCCAAAGACTGGGTTCAAAATCCCTCAACCTTGGGACACAAGTAGACCTATACTTGATGAAAAGGATCCTCTGTCGATTGAGGCATATTTGCGTCACTGCGCGCAGATCGTGGAGGATGGTGGCATCACAGATGTCAAACAGGCAAAAAGCATGTACATCCGTTATTTGCCGTCGCGGCAAGTGATGGACGTATGGGAAGGTCTCGATACCTATTCCGACGACACGAAAACTGTCGCGGAATTCGAGGCCGAAATATTAAAAGGATACCCTGAGGTGTCCAAGCGAAAAACGGGGACCATGGCAGATCTAGACAGGCTCTGTCGCGAGAACCGTGGAATCAAAATCACGGATGAGGGAGATTTGAAGCGTTTCGGCCTTCAAATGTATAGTCACTACAAGCGACTGTCAGTCCCTCCTGCCATTATCACCAACAAAGTCGCGTGTGAACGCTACATGCGTACTTTGGACTCTGAGTTCAGTACCGTCTTGCGAAATGCTTTGGCTACGAGTCAGGTATTCAACAAGCGCTACCAAACTCGCGCCGGGATAGTGAACGCTAATGTCCCCGCGACTGGAGTCAATCGGCAGGACGACCCCATCCAGTTGAAAGAACTAATGACAATGGCAGAAGAAATGGCGTCGACGTTGAGCAACGAAGACGAAATTCCCATAATCGCGCGACCTCCCAAGGTTCGTTTCGACTATGAGACTAGTCCACCCAACCATGCTAAGGTTGAGGAGTTGGAAAACTCGATTTCCAACTTGAAGGATTCATTTCTTCTACACCAAAAAGAGCTACAGACTCAGTTGCAGGAAGCGCTGAAGACGTTCGTACAGACTGCTCGCGAAGCGCCCATACAGCGGTCGCGGCCAGTAGGCAACAACTCTTCTGTGCCCCACTTTGAAAGTCGCGCACAAGGAGGAGCTGCCGCACGGAACGACGATTGTCGCTACTGTGGACAAACTGGTCATTGGTCGAACGAGTGCCCGCTCAAGAGGTCTCACATTGAGAAAAACCTTCTCAAAGTCGACACCAAAGGGATGTGGAGGCTCTTCGACGACAGTTTCCTACCAAATGGAGAAGGGACTCAGGGACAACGAGTAGAGGCTTACTGGAAGAAGAAGGGCAAATCCGTCAACTTCCAGGACTCCTACTACTCGGATCAGTTCGATAGTCGCGACAATGATGATATGTCCGACTACCCTGAAGAAGTGGCAGATGAGATACGCTCCCTTCGTAGTCAACTCATCCAATATGAGAGGAAGTCGTCGCGGCCAACTCCAGAGAGTCGCGCTGAGCCGAAGACTCAAAGAGCTGCATCTGGTTCAACCAGTAATGCAATGGAAAGCGCCATGGGCCAGTTCATGCAGAAAGCCATGACCGACGCCATGGCCGGCTACTTCAACAACATGAACAGTGGTTATCCTCAGACTCAGGAGCAGTTCATTCAAACCCGTCGTGGTGCGAATAGCCAACCTGAGCGCGACGATAACAACTCGGGTTTCTAAATGGTTCAAGGAAGGGGGCTAAACCCACAAACTCAGCCAAGCCCTCTGAGGACCATGATAAACGAGCTGAGCGACGAGAGAAACCGAGAAAACCTGTGATTATTGAAGAAGTTAGTGATAGCGACGATGATGAGGAATCAGTGCGCGACAACGTCGAAAAGAGAAAGGAACTACCGTTTGAGAAAGTCAAGCCCGTTCTACAAGAACCAGTACATTCTTCAAAAGCGCGCGTTCCAGATAAATACCAGTTGCGTGCACCGATTCAAACGAAGGCTGTAGCAGAAGCAGTCTACGACAAAATGAAAAACGCGTCAGTCGACGTCACTGTGGGTGAACTCCTAGCAGTTTCGGGGACTGTTCGCGACTCCATTCTAAAGGACTCTTCGAAGAAACGAGTACCGGTTCAGAAGTCCATGCTTCAAGAAACTGGTCGCGTCGTTGAAGACGTTTGGGATGGAGAACTGAGCTACAACCTAGTCAGTGCTAAGGAATTGCCCGAGCCTGTGTTCTATCATAACACAGTCGAAGGAGAAATTCCCATTGGCGCAGTTGTCGCGACGGACCCATATGAGATGTACTTGGAGTCGATACCCTCTAATGAGAACCCAAGACATGTCTATGTTGGTGATTCGTCAGCTGCTCTCAGAACAATAAACGGACGGATTAACGCGCGTCTCGACGCGGACTGCATCCTAGACAGTGGATCTCAGATTGTATCGATGGCTTTCTCAGAAGCCGTCGACGCACAATTGAGCTGGGACCCAAAGGTCGTCATATATATGGAAAGCGCAAATGGATCTATCTCTAAGTCACTGGGATTAGCGAGAAATGTACCCTTCAGGTTTGGGACCATCTTGGTCTACCTGCAGGTGCACATTTTGGAAAGTCCAGCTTATAAGGTGTTGCTCGGCAGACCATTTGATATCGCGACAGAAAGCAATATCAAGAACGCGGCCGACGGCAGCCAAATAATCACTATGCGCGATCCCAATTTAAAGACACGTTGTGCAATGGCTACGCAGCCACGTCGTGCAGACGACTTGCCGCGTAACACTAAAAACAACGACGGATCTACCGAGCCCTACAGTTCGTCGAAACCGACGAC